CTGATGCTGCAAATCTGATCCACAAATTTATAAATTTGGGGTGCAGGCCAAGGGGAGATGGGCACAGATACTACCAACAACACCAGCATCAAAGAGCAGAGCAAACATAATCCTGAAAGCAGAATCTGCCTGCACAAATTCCAGACTGTCAGCACCGTCACTTGCGTAGCTGACAATCAAGTTGTGAGTTTCTCGGTGCAGAGAGTATACGCAGCTAGGCATTGGATCACCGGATCACCTTGTGTGCCAACAATGTCAGAATTACTGGAAAATCTTGAAGCTCTCGGCACTTTGATTGTCAAATTGAGAAGCGCGACCCAATCTTTGTTGGATCACCGTTGGCATGACGCACTTGAGAAGAGTGTGTTAGCACATCTCTGAGGCCAAGAAACCGCGGATGTTTGCCCTTCATCTGTCCGTGAGCGATGATTGACTGCGGCATGGCCGTTCGCCCGCTCAACGCGTTGACTCATGCGCTCAAGCAGCGTCACTCCACATCCTGGAACACTCGTTCAGCTCGCACCGTTCTTTCTGCGAAAATCTTCTTTACAAAGCTGCTGCGTAATGCCAGTCCTTCGCAGAAGTCGCAGCGGATCTCAACATGTGAGCTCTCTCGCTCGGTGTGGCTATCTTGGGCCTTCGCTGCGCCCAGTCACTTGCTCGCCCATCTGCACTGCCATCAATGGCCGCACAGCTAAATCTTGCCTCTTAACCTTGCTGAATGACTTGCTGTGGCACACGAAGCGCCTGCTCATGCATTGGCCTCGGCACGCGGACCTGTGCTGCGATTTGCGAGGGTTCGAAATCGAATTACGTCGTTGATATACCGCTAAGTTGTAGGTGAATGGTGCTCGTAGATGAGATGTAGCTTCTGATTCAACATCAGAAAGCAGGAGGATGATTCCACACACGGAAGCATCTAGATGCTAGCGAGCGTACCACAGACGAGCGTAGAAAAATCTGTGGCGGAGACGTAGAATGCCGTGTAGGGAGCAATCTGCATTCGTTGAAAAGAGAACTCCCTTCACGGTGAGGCAGCGCGTACACTGCGCCTACATTTTGAAGCAATCAGTCTACAAAAGCCCCAATCTTTCGAGCTCGCTGCTCAATCTACTTTTTGCTCGGATCTGCGGACCCCACCGGAAGAGCAAGAAGGGCGCACATCCTAGCACCAAACCTATCAGCCCAGCAAGCATCGACGCCCATTGATATCCTATGATCGAGGTGAACGGTTCGTGAGTAGTGTTCGAGTGATGGTCAAAGCCTCATGTCAGCAGAGCTGAGGAATATGACTCACCGAGGTTCTTGTACATTTGCGTCGTGAATAGAGGGAAAGCTGCTCCGAACATGTTGCGCGAGAAAGACTGCGCTGCTAGTGCTGACGAGGCATAAGGACCGTAAGAATCGGCAAGGTAGGAGAAAGCGGCAAGATAGACGATGTACACCGCCACCATAAGGACGACGATTCCGATGATGCTGCGTTGGTGGGATTGGAGGAATGACCGAGATTCAGTCTGGCGACATAAGCCTATTCGAAGGTGGCGCGCCTTACACTCACGGACCCGCCATGCTGACATCAGGATAGGACGTCCATGCATAGATCGCGCACCCTGCCGGGAACATCAAGCCCGCGAACATGGCCGCGTATAGTCGAGCTTCCGCTCCTCTTTTCGGATAGTTGCGAGCATACGCTCTCTCTGAGAGAGGGTTGAGGAGGTTGCCAATCAGGGCGGCAACACAGATCGCTAGGAACACCAGCCCGGTCTGGTGCGATGATACGGGATGACGAGATTGGGTGAGCAGCGCCACGCGAATTGTTCCATGACGGCGGGCGCGTCTTACCTGACCAGGCGTGTAATCATGCAACGCTGATACCAGGCCAATGCTTTCCAATAAGGCGTACATCATTCCCCATTGAAGGCTGATCCAAAGACTGAAAGCCGTCACCACTGGTTCAGTGAAGAGCACTGGAGGCAAGAAGAAGATTTCGATGCTCGTCAGAGCTCGCCAAATGTATGCGCGACCAGCGATCAGCTGCTTACTGATCATGGGTCTCGTCAGGCTCCCCTTGATGAGAGTCACGACACTTGCGCGCTCCAGCTCGCTCTTGGCCATGTACCTTCCATCGCCCGTCTGCTTGCGGAGTCGGCTCGCACGGCGGGCAAGAATCACGCTTCCTCTAGTTTCCTTGAGTACGACGGCAAAGATGATGAGAAATGCCCCGGTATAAATTGCCTGAATGTGCTGAATCCACCGCCAGCCATCTGCGATGTGCTGCTCGACGAAGCCTGCCCAGAATGCTACACGCGTGGTTAACAAGTGAAACGTCAGTACGCAACCGGGGCGACGCACGACGGAGTGTGCTTGGCGAACCACTCACGTCCGAAGCCGGTGCCAAAGATAGCGGCGGTAGCGAACAGAGCCATCGGTGCACCTCGATCGCTGGAGCTGAACAGGTCTGCCATAGTAAGTGCGTGTTAAAGGAACGTCCGGTAAGCTCGTGCTGAACAATTCTTCGAGGTATCATGACGAACCTGCTATACTGCCACCGACTGCTCGCGTGAGTTGCAAATGAAGATAGGAGTAACAATTTAGCTGGGCGCGGTGCATCGTCACGCAGTTTTGCCGCCTCACCCATGGTGCTGCCTGTGCTCCCAAAAGCTCCTTGCAGGAACCGCAGAATAATGACGGTTTGGATATTACGAGCTTGGCCGATGCCGACGAAGAGTATTGTGTAGAGAGCATGGCTGACCAGGTAGATCGTGTTCCTCCCCATCACCTCGCTCAGCGGTGCGAGCACTAGGGGAGGCAGACCGAATCCGAAAGCATACACCGAGATGCCCAGTAGGCTGACTTCGTGCAGGTCATGGCGCAGCGATGCTTCCATGGAGGGTATGCCCGGGACGTAGCTGTTTTCCGACGATGTGCAGCATCAGGGAGCGCATAGAATGGTAGAGGGATGTGTGAGTGATCATGTGCGTTGTCAGGACATCGGCCGAACATGGGTAGCAATCAAGGTGAACTCACGCGCCGGCTGTGGCAGCCACCTCCATGGTGAAGAATGTTGCAAAGATGGTCACTGCGCCGATGAGATGCGCACGTGTGTCAGCAACCTTCGTCAGCAACTCCCGTCTTCGACGCTTTGGAGCTTTCCTTTGCGGAGTCTGCTTCGGTGATGTCGGTGTCGCTTCCCCCCACCGCTACCATGATAGATGCGCACTTAGCCATTTTCTTGTGGGACTGAAATTGAAAGGATTCTCTGGATCTGTTTGCGGGTCAGCGTCCAAGCAATGGATTTGGCGGCGCGGTGGCAATGCCGTGAAACGTTCGTCAGAGTGATTGCCTGCGCTGATACTTGCAAGCGCCGCTTCAACTCACCTCCTTCCTCCCACTCGACCCATATCCTATCACCTTGACGTGTCCCGGCCAATTGCTCCGCTATCAATGATGCATGCTTCTCGCGATCTGACCAGACCTCGCCTCGTGCTGCACTTTCCCGCTCGACAACCTGACTCGCATGCGGAGGGTGCTCCGCTTCGCCCGTCCTGGCGGCGGAATCCTCTGCTGACGAACTATCAGACGATGATGGTGCCAAAAGTTGGGCAGGGCCTTTCGAATTACATTCCGCCAGATCCTCCTCGTTCCCATGCTTTGAATCGCTATGCGATGTGAGCGAGAAGCCGGACCCTCTCTTCGTGCGTTCCGAGTCTGCACTGTTTGATGGTGTGGATCCACTCTGCTTGATTGAGGTCGCCTTGGAGGAAGAGGCGATCATGGCGGCAAGAGAACGCAAGAGGATTATCGTGCCTTCAAGCAGAGTGACCGATGCATTCGTGATGGAGAAGCAAGCGAAAGCAGCGAGGCAGATGCGATGTAGGCGAATAGTCGAGGTGGTGTTATGATGCCAGTGTGGACCTAGAGTCTCACATCAGCAGAGCAAGTGATTCGTGATAAATGCGATCCCTTTGAAGGTCGCAGCTGCACTGCAGCGTGGTGAGGTCAACAACTTATCCAAGTACGCGGTCGTGATTAGCTGGCAGCCGATCTTTGCGGTGGGAAGGTATAGCAAAGTCCCACTTGCTCGTGTTTATCGTGCGAGTAGGAGGTCAGATCCGTGAATTCCTAGATGAGTTCCAGAGGTGCAACGCAGAGAGCGATGATAGCGATGTGACAGCGGACGAGGGGAGCAGCAACTGCCTGAAGTGATTCGTGTCAGAGCGAGGCTGAATGTGAATGTGGATGAGCTTGCAAGTACGCACGTCGCAGCCCGCGATACGCGCAAGAGCTGCTGGGTGTCGTAGGCGGACCTGTCTCGGTCGATCTTTCCGAAGGTTTGTGACGAGTGTTGACGTGTTATTTGGTGTGACAGTGTCTTAAGTGTCTTAGAGGTGATCGAGGTGGCGAGTCGAGTCGCAGAAGATGTGAGTGCAAGATTTGATCAACTCGTGACTGCTGACGAGACACGGATGATGCCGACAGACAAACCCCCAACGTTTTGCTGCACGGTGTGCGGGCTCGTGCTCCGGTCCTCGTAATCATGAACACTGCTCATACGAGATGGTGGATGAAGGCAGATGCGGCGCGAGCGAGCTTCGTGCGGCGAGAATGGCGGCTCTGAAACGCGGTAGAGGAACGATATTGGCTTCAGCAGCTGGGCAAATGATCAGACCCGCATGCACCCGCGGACGGTGACTTGCTGCTGCTGATGTGTGCTGTCCAAAAATCTTGCCTTGCGTCGGGAAAACGAGTCACACAGGCATCAAGCGCTCAACCAACCCGCCGTGAAGGAAGCTAGGGTCGGGTCTTCGCGGCTGTGATCTCTCGGTAAAATTAGGTGGACAGCTAGGATGAAATCACCGGCATCATGATATGCATGCATGCGTCAAGCACGAAGGGCGCACATCAGCATCAGCAAGCAAGCAAGCGCGCGCCCTATAATTTTCTGCTGGAGAGCCGCGGCAAAACGGCACGTCATCGTGGTCGGTCAATCCACATCTTTGCGTGCTGCTGCATGGGGTTTGCATTTAGCGCACCCTCCTTGACCTGCTGCAATCCAGGGCCAAGCCTCTGATGCGTCCGTGACTCACACTGTTGCCCAGGGTTGAAGATTTTGGTTGCTGAGACCAGCAGGTGAATTGACGCTTGAAAAGCATACATGCAGCTGCAGTTTGATGGCCGCGCGGGCTGGATCCCACTGCTCTTCAGAGGAGCCTCACACGCAAGCGGCATCGAGCCCTTGCTATGTCTGGAGCAAAGCGAATCATAGCACGTTGTGGGCACTGCGAGCTTCAACTTCCGACTTCTTCCTCGTCGTGAAACGTCTTGCTGCTACCTATATATACAGACTTCAAGAAGCTCGGCGTGACCGAGATCATACGAAGAGAACGTGGCCAGTCACGAGAGATGACGGGCGATGACAAAGGGTTTCTCGAGGGTGAAGCGTTTACTTTGATTGGGATTGGGAAGCAATAGGGGATGGCAGGTGTTTACACGGACGGGGGTCTTCAAGGGGTGGGCGCTAGCTTGAGACGTTTCGATCTGAATCGAGGGCTTGTTCACGCGCTGACGGTGACGACGAGGGTAGCAACACCGAGGGCGAGCACAGCAGAAGCTGCCATGAGTGCAGGCGAAGCGTGCGCGCTGGCAAGAGCGGCGGAAGCACTAGAGCTCGAGCCTGAGCCTGAACCTGAACTGGAGCTTGGAGTCGAGCTCGATCCGGTAGAACCACTCGAGCTCGGACTCGAGCTAGAGCCGGAACCAGAGCTCGGCTTCGAGCTCGAGGAAGTTGAGGTGGTGTTGCTTGGACTCGAAGAACCAGACACCGAGCCCGACACAGAGCCCGAAGCAGAGCCAGATGCTGATCCGGCAGTAGAGCCCGAGGTGCTTGGGGTCGAGCTGCGCGTACGAGTCCAGCCTCGGTGACACTCAGCAAGAGGACGAGCGCACTTGCGATGGCAACCCCGTGTTCCCTGACTCACCTGCTGTTGCTGCTACCGCTCGGTGAAGTACTACTAGTAGCAGCGCCACTCGAAGGGCCTGAGGAAGCGGCAGTGTCGGTAGAGCCATTGTGAGTAGTGCTACTTTGAGAATGCGTTCCACCGGCGCCGGCAGATGCCGAGCCAGAGGAAGACGATGAGGACGAAGACGAGGACGACGAACCTCCGGAGGTTAGACTAGCACCCTTGGTGCAATCGTCTGTCACTCCCTTGTGAATTTCGACTTGACCAGTAAAGTTCTATTGTGCAGTATCCGGACCGCGGGTTCGGGTTGAGCCAAGGCTACGACGGGTGACCTTGCCGGAGCCTGTCTAGACTCACATTCACTCCGGTAGCGTCGGAGATGATGAAGGTCAACGTCTTGCCTACGTCGAGATCTGCACTCGAGATGGTAGTGGTTCAGCTCACACGCGTCTGCGATACGAACTTGGCGGGAGAGAAACTTTTCTGTTCCAGCTGAAATTTGCGATCGTACTCACCGACGGTCCAAGTGTATGTGCCGCTGGCACCAGACTGGGGTGGAAATTGCTTGACAGGCTGAGCGGCAGTGTCCGTACCTGTAATGCAGGAATGATGCTTAGCGTGTAGATCCACCGCCGACAGCGTCTGATAACTCGAAGCCCACCCTCAACGGCACGAATGAACACCTGCCCGGTGGCAGAAGCTGTTCGGTAGGGAAAAGGACGGAGCTATCAGCTCGGATGGCACGAAGGGCGAAAGAACTACAGGACTCTGCGACAAGACCATGAGCACGCACCACCGGACCACGTAAGCGCAACGGGCTGGCATTGCGTCAAGCCTGTAGGTGTGTTGAGCGTTGGTCCTGCTTGTGCGCGAGCGCTGATGCAGGCGAGAGCAAAGGTGAGGAGTAGAGAGGTCGTCTTTGCGTTGAACATTGTGAAGTGTGTGCTGATCGTATAATCACGAGTCGAAGCAGGAAGTTTATGGGTCGTGGCTGGAGGAAGGCCGAATGGGCTCACTCGATGGACGACTTCTGTATGAACGAGAGTGTGAGCACACAGTGTTGATCAGCTACGATGGACAAGGAATAAGAATGAGGAAGAAGAAGATAGACGGAGAAGGGTGGCGAAAAAGAGCTTTGCTGTAGCACCGAAGTCCAGATTGCCATATATGAGGCAAAAGCTAAACCTCGTCGCCCGCCAAAGAGCAGCTGCGACAATGAAAGGTCCTCAACAGCGAGCTTTTTGCCATGCGACGAAGCTTGGCGGCTTTGACGCTGCCACGAATCCAGTATGCCAGCACGGTAGGCGGTCGACCGTGTCCGTGGTGCGTCTAATTGCTCTGGTCTTGAGAGGCGCAGATTGATGAGTCTGCGCAACGTTGCAAAATTGATAGCTGCAGAAAAAAGCCGTGTTGCGCAGCGCGGCAAAATGAAGAGTTTGACTCGGTCAGGTTCATACATGTATATATACATGAGATAGGCAGACAAGATGACCGCCGTGGAGAAGGTACCGGTCATCGGTGCGTTCGTTACCGCGCCCCCTAACAAAAGCTGGCGTGCGACGGGGTACTCGGCATTCGAATGTCGGTGCAGCGCTTGCGTGCGGACTCCTTTTTTGACGAGGGTGCATGACCAGTCGAGATCGAGTCTTGGCCGAATGTTAAGTCGTTGACTGAAGACTGGTGACTGTGGGCGGACGCAGTCAAGTGCTTGCGTCCCTTCTATAAGCGAAGCTACCGCCTGAAAGTGAGCTATGAAAGCAAGATGGGCAGACGGGGCACCGAAGCTTAGGTCATGACATGCTGGTAAGCGGCGGCACAGTCACGAGCCGCAGCCATCTTCGCACCATGCAGCTATACAAAAGAAAGACTTCTTGATTCTTGAATGTTGATTCACATTTCGTGGTTGCACTCATCGCCCCTACTGTGACTTATTGACTTGCAACAGTCGTGAGTCTTGAGTCACTCGCTTGAGTTGAAGTGGTCACTGCGTGCGTGGCCATTCTGATGGCTGCTGTAATTTCGTCTGCGTGGTCGAGGCTATCCGCGGCAGTAGCAGTGGTCAGACCACATTTGGTGCCACAGCAGCGGTTGTTTGCTGCGGATGCATTGGTGATTTGTTCGCAAATTGCTGATTCTGCGTCGCTGCTCGGGCGATCTCGCTGGTGATTGTGTCACAACAAGACTCTCGGCTCATTTCGTGGGGTTGGTGAGTCACTTTCTCGATCATTTAAGTTGATGAAGTCTTGGGAGCGCGGCAATGACCATCGCAGACCTTAGCATCATAGGGTCGTTATCCGGTTGCGTCAACTACGCGTTGTCTCTGTTGTTGCTAAGCTGCGATCGGGACCAACACGTACGCTGCACAGCTGGATTCATTGACCGACGTGTTGGTTTCACATTCTTGGCTGCAATTAAAGAACTGGTGTTGCGTACACAGACTCACTCAGACTCCTGACTGATGCATGGTGCGTCATCGTGATCGACTCCCGCCCCTGCTGAATGCAAGGCGGCCGTACGATGATCACGGATGATGTTAAAACGCGCCACACCAACGCGTGCTGATGTGGCGGTGCAGCAACAGTAGGCGACCTCGCGACGCTAACGCAACAAGCAAGGCATCGCAAACGGCGCTGTTCGGATGTTCCTGACGCACGCAAGCCCGCATATGCAGCAGGCTTCATCGACATGCCGGGTGCTGCTGCATGATCTTTATGATGTGCGCTGCGCTGATGCATACTGGCTGGGCGTTTCGTTTTGCTCTCTGCTCTCGCTGCTGGGTGGACGGGCAGCAGCTCTCTATAGCGAAGGGCTGTTGCTCGGCCCACGAGTTCCAACTGAGGTCCTGAGTTTTGAGTCGTGAGTAGCAGTCGAGTGCGTCCTGAGTCTGAGTGCTGAAGTGGGCAGGAGTGATCAAATCTTGAATCAATCAAAATCGTGAAAACAGCTAGATCATCAGCAGACTCGTGATTGCTGCATGGTCCCTTGCACGAATCAAGAATCGCAAAAGCAGATCTTCTGTCTATAAGGAGGAATTGCTCGCTCGCTGCTGCATTCAAAATTGACTTTCGGGACTCTGGCTGAATACTCAAAGGTGACTCACGACTTCCGCTTCCAAAGTCGGCACCATCGTCCATCCGTACACGCGTCACGATGATGATTTCGGCTTCTAAGCACACCGATCCCCCACGCGCTTGAGCTTACGCTACGCAGTCGAGGAGACGCTTCTCCCGAATTAGGCCTGCGCTCACCACCAAGTCTGGCTGAACAAGCTCTCCCATGGCTCGATTCATCTTCTTTTCGCACACACCCTTCCCTCACCCTCCCACATTGTCCACGGATGCTTCACGGTCAATCGCGGCCTTCGCTCCGAGACGACCAAGCTGAGAACGGCATCGATGACGTCGCCGTGCGGGGTTGCATGAGAACAGACCGCGTGAGGCTCTGCCTCTAGCGCGGCGGCTGGCCGTGCGGTCTTCGGAGAGAGTACGGCACAGTGCATGCCGACCCGATGAGCTTGCAATCACCCAAATCTCAAGTCACAGTCAGAGTACGTGAACCTCGCGCGCTGACTGTAGGTACATACGATCACGATGCCATTTCCCGCAAAGAGAGTCACCAGTGTGAGTGACATAAGAGTCAAGAGTGGTAAAGCGCACTCATACGCTCTTGAGCTGCTGTACAGCCCCGGCAAAGCCGCAAATGCACGCCAAGGCACATGGTGCTGCGCCGCGATCATGCAACCTTCCTCTGCTGGAATGCCGCTGCTATAGTGCGTTCCAGTCTAGCTGAGGCCGCACATGCGCGCGGAGACCCTGCTGCTGCTGCTGCACGATGCCGATGGACGTCTTGATAGCCACTCACAGCTTGATTGCCCCGACAGAATCGTATGACCAAAGCAAGGAAAAAGCTTAAATAGCACAGCCAGCACTCGTGACTCAAGCTTACCGTACCCGCCAAGTCGCCTTCATCTCTCGTCTCTACTCCTCCACCTACCCACCACTCGCGCTCTTTCTTTCCACCACAGCTTCCTCTACTTCGAATTGCAGGTCACCATGTCGGACTTCAAAGCACCACCTGTACCAGGCGCGGACGACAAGCTGGCCTCTGGCCAGGATGCCTTCGCCAGTAGCAGCGGAGGCGTGGACCATCAGACCTCGGATGACGATTTCAATCTCGGAGGTGACGAAGAGACCTTTGGTGAAGGCGGTCCGAGCCATTCGAGTCAGAAGAGGCCCTTGAAAGCTCCACCTGCTGGCGATGCACTGATCAAAGTGCAGCCTCTGAAGAAGGCAGACATGCAGCCGTCTTACGCTCAGGACCTGGGCTTGCAAGACGTCGAGCACGGTTTCTACGGCTCCATGATCAATGGGCTCGGAGCATGCGCCGGCTTCTTCGGCCAGCTGCCGTGCTGCTTCTGCTTCCCCAACCCTTTCAAGGAGGTCAATCAAGGAAGCGTTGGACTCGTCTCGCGCTTCGGTCAATTCTACAGGAGTGTCGACCCAGGACTCGTCGCCATCAACCCTTGCTCTGAAAGTGAGTCAATTAGCTCCCGAACCCTCGTACGAGGCATCGGATAACTAACACGCGAATGCCGAATCATTGTCTGTCAGCTTTGCGCATTGTCGATGTCAAAATCAATCTGAGTGTGCTGCCTCGTCAGACGGTCATGACCAAAGACAACGTGACCATCGACATCGAAGCAGTCTGCTACTGGCACGTCACCTCCCCATACCGCGCCGCATTCGGCGTCGGCGACGTTCGAGCTGCCCTCATTGAGAGGGCGCAGTCCACTCTGCGGGACGTCGTGGGCAGCAGAACCCTTCAAGCTCTCATTACCGACCGCGAAGGTGTGGCTGTGCAAGTCGAAGAGATCGTAGCTGGCGTTGCTGAGAAGTGGGGTGTCTCGGTGGAGGCTATCCTGATCAGAGACTTGCTCTTCAGCAAGGATCTCGAGGCATCGCTCAGCTCCGCTGCCACGCAGCGCAGAATCGGTGAATCCAAGGTTGTCGCTGCTCGCGCCGAAGTGCAGAGCGCCAAGCTCATGAGACAGGCAGCAGACGTGCTTGGTAAGTCACTCACACTGTAGCAGTCCGCGAGCATCGCTAGGTCCGTACTGACCACCGTTCTTGCCTCACCGATCTTTCTCAGCTACTCCTGCTGCTATGCAGATCCGCCAGCTCGAATCTTTGCAGGCCATGGCCAAGACAAGCGGAGCGAAGACGATCTTTGTGCCCATGAACTTGATGGGCGGCGAGTCGGCCATGTCCAACTTGGCCACCACGCAGCAGCTGTCCAGCATCTGATCCGGCTACTTCATATCCCTTCCCTTCACTGTCTCGCATCTGTGTACCACCTGATGATTGCTGCCCACCAGGCGTCGCTATAGCTTTAGGTCCGATCGACGTCTCTACGTCTTTGATACACAAATTGATACCATCACTTGCTCAGCAGACAAGCGTCTTGTCCTTGCTAAAGACAGCCCTCATTCGTGGTAGGTAGGAACCCACTGACATCGTTGGGTCGAACTCAGATCCGACGGTACACTTCCATGCTTTGAGCTTCTGCGCGACTCCCCAAGTGCCAAGGACGCGCGTGAATGTGAATGTGAATGTGAACATGAATGTGATGTGAATGTCAATGGTGGATCCCAACTGATGCTCTCGCTGACAATTCTGCGGTGCCGATGTGGAGTTGCACGAGCGCGAACGTGGTGCACCGATCGGAGCTGCGCTCGACTCGTGAGCGGGCAACCACGCCCCCCTGCACCGAGCCATCCATCATCGCTCGCAGCCATGCATGCCTCAGCAGCCGAGGGTGTCTGTGCGCGCGAGCGAACACAGCAGCACCGCGTGCCTGATTCAACAATCACACTCATCGTGACTCTTGACTCGATCGCGTCGCGAAGAGACACATCATCTTCTTCAAGTCACAAGCACAAATTTGATCCACAATAGAACCTCTCGTCTCACAAGTCACAGTTGAGTCTGTGTTGAGTTTTGCGTATTCTCGAGACTTGGGCTGCTTGCATGCATATATACACGCACGCCCACAAAAAACATTCAAATACACGCAGAGCGACCTTTTACCTTCTTTTCGCGCGAAATCGCCATCAAGTCATTGTCATCCCGTCCACACAATCGAGCTCACACCTAGGTCCGGCACTTCCGGCTCTCTTTCAACAATCGATCTTGGGAGCGTACTTTGCAAGTGACTCGCAACAAGCAAGCGCTGCAAGAAATGGCTGCGGTAGCCAGCTCAAGCAGGGCTTCGCCGCCGGATAGATCGCAGCAACAGCATAGGCCGACCAACTCAAGAATACTAGGAGACATCACTGCCGAACCGCTCTTAGTCGCCGCTTCCACAGGCAGCGATAAGCCATTGCAAGCACTGCACGCCCAGAACCTCGCCCAATCCTCACTTCACACACAAGAGGTCCAAGCTCACTTTCTGAATCAGGCGCCCAAATTTGTAGAGCTGCACAATACGCTTTCAACCAGCTTGTCGCAGCTGGAAAGCTTGAGCAGCTTCTTGTCCACCTTTAGCGCTGATCTCGGTGCTGTGTCATCGCACATCAGCACGCTTCAAGCCAGAAGTCAAGAGCTGGAACGGAGACTGGTAGCCAGACGCAAGCTGGAATTGCCGCTCAACGACCTGGTGCAGAGCATCAGCATCAGTCCGGAGACGCTCAAGCACATTCTGGACGAGGAGCCAAACAAGGATTGGCAAGGCTACCTTGCGGAGGTGGAAAAGGTGCTTGATGCTTCCAGCTCAGCGGCTGCGGCCAGCTTGCTGAGCAAGAAAGAGAACACAGCTTCAACTCAAGGAAATATCGTCTCGGATGGAGAGGCGTTGGAGGAAGTGAGAAAGATAGCAGAAGGCGCAAAAATGGTTGTGAGTTAAGGGCAGCGATCGCTGTAGCATGCTGGCGCTTTCACGAGCTGACGACCGGGCCTTTGGGAGATTTGCAGGCCGCTGCCAAGCTGCGAGGTTCACTTCTAGCGCCGCTACAACCCATCAAACGCAGCTTGACTGCGAATCTCACCCTCCTGCAATCTCTTCTACTGCGATCGCACAGAGGTCTGTACGGCTTCCTAGCTCGTCAAATGCCTCGAGTCGCTATCGACGTGCAGCGCGAATACGTCGGTCTTGCCAGGCTTTACTACGAGACTGGATTCAGAAGGTACGAGCGGGCGCTCAAGTATGCGAGAGAGAAAGCGAGGAGAAGAGAGTCTCGAGCAGCTGTTCTGATTGCAGAAGTCATGCCTCCTGGTGAGTGCATGTAGCAACGCGAGCTGCTCTATTAGAGAAGCGGTCACATGAAACTCATCGATTCTCGCTTTCCGCTCGCGGTGCAGGAGCCACTGGCGCTGGACCTGATGCTGAAGGAGACACATGGCTTCTAGATACTTTGCGACTGGAACATGCAAAGATGGCCGATGGACCTCCAGTGTGCTTGGCATACCAGGCAGAGGACCCCACAATGGTAAGCGACGGAAAGACACCATTGCTGCGCACCTCTTCTAACAATGCGTACGCCTTCTGGTCCTCTTCAGCGGCATCCCATCGAGTCCCTCTTTCGCAGCCTCTCTCTGGTCATGCTAGACAATGCATCAGCGGAGTATTGTTTCATCGCGCGCTTCTTTGAGGACTTGGAATCGATGCCAGTCAAGCCGTCAAAGACGCTTGAGGATCTTTCAGACGACGGACCAGAGCCCGAGGAGAGCGCCAGTGCAGCAGGCGACGCTGAGGAAGCTTCGGAAACAGCCAAGACCAGCATCGGTGGTGGTGGAGGCACAATGCGGGAGGAAGCGCATGGCGATGTTACGCACTTGTCCAAAAGGGAACAGCAAGCGATGCAGGGACGAGCGGCAGGTGCTGATGAATTGTGGCGACAGGTAATGGAGCCCGTATTGGGCCACTGGACGGTGAGGGACAAGATGAGCTACGACATTGCGCCGCTCTCATTTGAACTGACCCCATCTGATCTCGTCAATCCCCAGACATTCGTCAAGTCACTTCTTGCGCCTTCGCCCCCTTCAATGCTCAGCCTCCTCACCGTTTTACAGCATCTGGAAGGACTGTTGAGCGAGAGCACCGCGCGTGGTGTCTCTCGCGTTCTACAGCCGACGTTGATGAACTTCAAGATGGAGGCGTATCCCGTTCTTCAGCGTCAGTGGGACGAACATATCGCTAGTATCAAGAAATTTGCGGACACTGGGACGCCACAGTCTGGTGGAGTTCTCACTTCCGCTAATGTAGGCACAGAAACCATCGCTGCTGGATTTGGAAGCTTCGTCAGGGCCGCTGCGAACACTGTCTCGAATCCTTTCGGTTCCCAAGATCCGCGCGTCACAGACCAGCACGTCGTAACAGTGAGTAGCACCTCGCAGCTGGGGCAGCCAGCTTGCAGTCTATCTGACGCTCTACACGTGATGCCGTACATGTAGGTCTCGTACAGATACGGCCGCCTCTATTCGAGCGTCGTGTCGCTGACGATGTCGGAAGAGTTCCCGGATGCGGCATCCAGCAATCCAGCGCTGTTCTCGTCACTGCTGCGCTTGCGCGCAGAGGTGGAAAGACTGATCGAGAAGCAGGTGGAGAGAATCTCTAAGAGGAAAGCGTCTGGAACGGCAGATGATGCATCAGGTCCCAATGCCGCTGGCTTGTTGGCGATGAGCAGCGTGACTGCCGTCAAGCGGGCTCTCGAGGTGCGTATTCTGGACTGACTTGCGCGTCAAGCAGCAGCTCGAGGCGTTGTCATCCGCAGCTTTCGTCCTCCCGAGACTAATCATTGTTGCAACTGTCACGCGCGTTCCGGCTCTCAGAATGGACCAGCAGCTCTTTCACACCCGCGGTTGCAGACTGAAATGTCGCATTGGTCGGAGACGGAGAGGAGCAGGAGATTGGGTTGAGCGGAAGCCGCACACGTTTTTCGCATTGCTAATCGTATCAATACACAATTCTTGCTGTCATGCCAATGATAATTGCATAATTCTCTGCGGTCAATTCGAGGTATTACTGAGTCGACTGATGTTTGCACAAGTCAACTCGTCTTCATCGACGTGAGTCGTGCGTTGCGTTGATTCCGCAGCCTGGTCGCTGACGAATGAAGGTACCTCCAGATGACTTGCGAACGTGTACAACTTTGCCCCGCTGCTCAGTCTCGCAATTGGATCCGAAATGGTCCTTGCGCTCATATACACCCTTTCTCCATCCAGGCTACTTCACCGTGGCCAATTTGCAATGGCAGATGCTGCTTCTTCAGACTAGAGTCTGAACAACTCCGGACCGAGCAAGCGTGCAGCAAACATCACTCAAGATTGTCAATCTGCTTTGGTAAGAAGACCAACTGGGCGTTCCTATTCAGCCGCACGTTGCCCTGGCATCTCGCAGGTACGGTCTGTATACGATGCGAGGTCCCCCATTCGCGAAACCCAGACGCTGTTTTCCCGGTTCGGAGTTTCGGAGAGACTGCATGCTGCCGAGCTGCGCATGGAACCCTCAATCTTAGCGTGCGAAAAGTCTCTTGCCCGCTGCTAGCTGAGATTCGAGCGCCAGCAACACCGCCCGTACCACCTTCCCCACACGCACACGAATTGTGGAAGGCTCTCGGTGGATGGATGGAATTTTGTAACAACGCTCCCTGTGCACAGATGAGCTCAATGTCATATGACCTCCATATTCAGATCATACGTAGGCTGCCAGGGGACAGGAGATCGTGAGACCATGTCCGCCTCGCCTGCATCAAGGCTAGAAAGCGGAAGCGGTACGTGATGGATTTCTTCTGATCGTCGAAAGTGCTCACCGCAATTGTGAAGCAGGAGTCGAAAGCGGGGGAGGCGTTCACGTTCATCACTCGTCACTCAGACTCGTGCGCTTTGAGAAACCTGCCTTTGCAGCTTGATACAGGTAAGCAAGCAACAAACAGGTGGTCGGTACTCAGTTGGCCACCGATGCTGCAAGGCGCAGAGGTCGCGGGCGATGCGGGCCTATCGGGCTTCTGAGCATGGAAGAGCCGGTTCGCGCATTCACACACAGCAGCTTGTGTGTGAATGTGGTACGGTACCTGCAGCTGCGGAAGATAGGCAACAAGAGAAGCCCATCGAGGTCTCAATGGCTCGAACTTCGTGACTGTCCAAGTCAAGACACCCCCTTGATTTGTGAATTGGCTACAGGCACATTCAACGTTTGATCTGAATTTGAATGCAAAGAGTAGGCTTCCTTGAATATGTTTTCGCGATCGGAGATGGCAACTTGCAAGCCGCCAAGGCTGCACCCAGACTTTTGCGCAAGGCGATCGTGATTCTGCAGATTGCAGCATGGTAACCACCGCGGTCCCACCGGATCAAAGCTCAAATCGCAGCAGCGGCATGCAGAATCTGAATTTGCCGCCGCACTCGATCACGACCGCTGTGGCTGCTTCAGCTGCCGTGCCCCCCGTCAGCTGATGAGAACAGCATGAGTCGCAGGCTGCCTGCATGGCCGCCCAGCTGGGGAAAGCATCACACGAGAGCGTCTGACTTGGCATGGATCAATCTCCGCAAAAATCCATGTCGCATCTCAGCATTCGTGCTTCCTTACTCGTGACTGTCTCGTCCGCCGCGCTTCGTGCTCTATACCAGTACTTTGCACCACAAAGACGGTGGTCAAGAAGTTTCGAAAAGTCACTCTTCGATCTCATGAAGATCAAGCTTTCACGCCACGAGCAGGATTCAAGTGAAACGCCGTGGCGGTGCAGCCATGCTGCGACGCGTGCTCGGAACGCAAATGAGCCGCTGGTCCGGTGCATGTGAGCTCTTGAAGGTGAAAGCTTTGCCACACACAGCGCACGAGCTCGTCACCGCAATCTACAGTCGTGAGTACCTCGAATGGCGGTGAAGGAAGGGCCTTCATGCATGCGTCTCCTCTGCCCTCAGCACACGTCTTTAGGTACACACTCATCCACGTCCTTCCACTTGCGGAATGAAGGTGAAACGGGCTGGATGCTCGGTGCATTTGACCTGTGTACTCGGGCCGTGAGCTGCTGCATCTGCATGCGAGTGATGAGCACGCAGCGCGCGAGAGCTGCACCAAGCCGTGAGCACCAATCTGACTCTGCATCGCCAACCGCTGCACAAGGTCAAGCGTTTTAGGTGTGCTCGCTGCAGAAAGGTGCAGCCAGCAGCTAGCAGAGATTGGTGGCCGAGCTCCTTGCTGCCCGAAGCTGCGCCGTTGGAGTGGCTTGCCCCGAGGACCTCTTCTTGGTACAGTACTCACACTACGCACTGTACAAACACACGCAGCTACGACGGCGCACGCTGCAGCAGCAGTCGTGAGTCAAAGTTCAGCCGGATTCCTCAGCTCCGAGCGCAGCACCGACCTTGCATCGCTCATCACGCAAGGATCTCACTCAAGATTCGATTCAAAACTCTCGACATTGTACCACATAGCGCTCGAGCCCTTGTCGGACGCACACGCACTCACCCAACAAGCTCTGCTTGGCTCGTGAAAGGTCGAGACGAGGTACTGCGGACCAGGACATTCATTGCCTTGGCCTTCTGACTCGGCGAGCGCAACCTCCTGGCCCGTCGGAATTTCTGTGCCTTGTCGATACTACGATCAGGATCTCCTCGTACTTCCTGGCATCATCGTTCACTTCACCAGGCACCGCAAGCATCTTCTACATGCCGCTCCCCTAGTCCATCACACCATCATGACGCGCACACCTTCGTCGAACGAGGATTCGCGCGGCGAGGGCAGCCGTCCGCCTACGGCAAGCACATCATCGGCGCCAATGACCGCTAGCACGTCAGCGACCTCCAATAACCCTTTCTCTTCCACTTCTCAAAGCTTTGAAGACCTTCTCGCGTCGCACGACCCTTCTGATCTTGGCTATACGTCTGGACAACCGTCAGGCAAAGCGAGCCACCACCACGGTGCTCTGGGAGCGCAAGGGACGGGAGCAGCAGCGGGTCCAGGCGTGGCCCCCTGGATTTGGTCCATGGGTGCACCAGCTCGGCAAGTTGCTGCTACCTGGGCCACTCATTTCGACGATTTTTCCGCCGCAGCTCAGGAGGATTGTCAGCACGGGAGCAGCGCAGCTTCTGGCACCACCTTGGGCAGCCCCCCGTCAGCTATGCAACAAGGACTGAACGGCGACGGGCATCTAGACCAACCACTCTTCACCGCAGCGGGATTTCCTGCAAGCGGTCTCACCAACTTTGACGCTCTTTGGGAGCAGGCGGCGCAGCATGAAGACTTTACACCCTTCGTGCCTCACACTCAGCGGGCGTCCTCATCCTCGGCTGACGCGGCTCGCTCAAGTGGAGCCAAGGGACCCCTACCCACCCCGGGCATGACTCCATTCCACGGCGAAGCGTCTGCCAATGTTGTGTCAACTCAGACGTTCGAACGACATCCTCACTTCTACTCACGCGCCTCGCTGGCTGGCAGTGAGGAAGTGGACGAGCTGGCCATGCTTGAAGACGAAGAGGTTGACGACGCGCTACAGGACCGAGCGTCAAAGAAGCCCAAGCTTCAGAGGAGGCAAGGCGTGGTGAGTGAACAAATCTGCGTCTGTGCATACCTTGCTGTCACCTTACCGACCTCTGGCCTGCTCATCGCAGACTTGCGATGCTTGTCGATCCAAGCACCTGCGCTGCGATCTGCTCGAGCGAAGAGTCGGTCGCGGCCTGTCACCCAACCCTGAGAATGGCAACATGAACGGAGTCAAGTGTACGCGCTGCATTGACAAGGATCTAGACTGCACCAAAAACCACGCTCCGCCCTCTCGAAGATATCCTCGTCCGAGTCGTACTGGCAAGCGTATCGAACAAGCACGTTTGCTGCACGGCTCTATCGCCAACGCCGAGGCAAGTCGGACGAGCCCTCTCATACTCGCAACCGAGCCATATACGCTTGCATCTGCAAATCGCGGGGAGAGCAAGCTGGCTTCGAGCGTCATGGCCAGCTCGGTATCTTTGCGGCTCCTTACCTGCTTCTTTGCCACCGCACACATTCAGCTGCCCGTCGTCGACCTTGCGCACTTCTCGTTTCGCTACAATTGGGCGCGAGGGGACCCGCGAGTGATGAGCATCATGAGCAACGGTGGGAGCCAAGAGGAAAGCATTCCAAGCGCGCCCTTGGTCACTCCAGGCTTGCACCTCAAAATCTGGCCCGAGACCGGCGAGAGCACAATTTCTACGCCTGCTACCGCCCAAGCACTCATGGCGGCCATGCATGCCTGGGCGGCATGCTATACCGACTTGCCGCTTGCGTTCGGCTCTCACGCACAATCACTTGGCTTTCACAGCCCTGATAATGGCGGCATTCCATCGTCAGGTATCTCGGGTATTGGTGGTGTGGGGCTGCAGCACACGCATCAACTTGGTGGCGACGATGGACAGTCAGTTCCCTGCTTTGTGCCTGGTGAAGAAAGGGCCGAGGGCGCCAGCAACAGCCTTGACGCATCTTCGAGCGATCGGAATCGGACAACTCCACCAGAGGAGGTAGTATCAGCGAAACAAGCGATGGGCGCTCCAGACGCGGCTGTGTTGCCTGGTGGACGAAGACCAAAACGCAAGCAGGGTGTGGCTTGCGACACCTGTCGCTTACGTCGCGTGCGTTGCGACGTCACCGAGCGTGAGCCAGGTATGGGATGCAGCCGATGTGAGGACAAACGAATCATTTGCACTCAAGAGTACATTAATACGAAACGCAAGTCTGCTGTTCAAGGAAATGAAGTGAGCGGGTCCACACCTCACACAAGCGCCGGAAAGCAAAGTGCATCAGAGTCAAGCTCTCCACAATGGCGCGATCAATCCGAGCTTGGTCCTGACTCTTGGAAGGATCGTGGAAAGGGCGAAGAGAATCGTGTTTGGGTCGAAGGGCGACCAGAGGCCACAGCAAAATATGCCGCCGGCCGCGCCAAGGAGTTGCTGCGATTTGGTCAAGCCAGACGAGCTTTCTGTCAGGAGATGCTTAGCAAAGCGATCGAGATGGTGCACAAGCATGACCTACTGCGCAAGCCATCTGTCGAGACAATCCAGTGCTTGCTCATCCTGGCTCAGGTTGTTGACCGCGCAGATCCTGCCAGCTCGCCGCTCTTCACGAACGCCGCAGCGCGCCACCTGACTGCCCTCAATCTTGAGCAGCCGTGCGAGGTGCACGAGCAAGATCAGGCGGCAGTCGAGGGTCTGATCATGCGGATGCAGTCCACTCGTGTCTACTGCAGCGCTTGGACGTACTCTAGCCTCGTCTCGATGCTGTCCAGGGCTACACCCCACTACAAAGCTGATCGAGCAATAGGCATCCAGGGAGGCGCGAGCGCTAGCAGCGCTGCCCGCTCAGGGATCGAAACGCCAAGCCCTCCTGGTGGCATGCAGCTCAGCGGCGAAATGGGAATGAGTTTCTGCTGTAAGTCCTCTTGATCTTGATGCGGTGCGTCGCGGTACTAAACTCTTGGTTGCTTTCCGAATTAGTGCTCGCATTGGTACAGATCGGCGCGCTTGCTCGATTTGTGACAAAGCACATTGATTCGCCACTGCCCACTGGTTCATCGCTAGTGATCGGGCCTCAGGAACGCTTCGGCAAACGAATGACGGCTGCAGACGTGCACAGACTCCAGAAGGCATGCAATGCCCTTTGGAATTCCCAACAGAGCCTTCTGCTCTTCTTTGACCGTTGCACGGATGCTGCGAGAGCTCAGATGGATCGCCTGACTGGCTTCCAGCCTCTTACGTGGATCGCGACCATCAAAGTCGCTGCTGGAATGCTCGACCTCGCCGTCTATCGCATACTTGGCGAGCGCTTTCATGTGCAGAACGCCTACGTCGCCGCAATGTCTCAGGCTTTTCCTGGCGCTTCTACTTCCGAAGATGCGGGCCATGCTGCAGCCCTAGGCCACCTTTTACACCGTGCACGAGAGCGTACACTCCTTTCGTGCAGATCGATCGCCCACCTTGTGGAGTTCCTACTTCCGAAGCGCGTGTTCCAGACAGGTGGGACGATCTTCAGCTCCTTCTCTGCGGTTGCTCAATTTTTGATCCGCACACCTCCAACTACAACGGCGGACATGGGCACAGAAGGCCTTGACGAGGACTTTTGCCAGCCAGATGCCACTGCAGCGGCTACATCTGCACATATTGACCCGAGACAGCTTTCTGGAGAGGCAAGAGCGCTATCACCTTCTCACTTTGATGCTGCAGACGGAAGCGCAGAGATGAGCAGCGAAGCGAAGCTTGTATCGCAAATCGCAGTCTCCAGGACTGAACAGCTAGGACCCTACGACGCTGCTGCAAAGGCGAGGGAGGTCGGAGCGGTCTTGGAGGGTCTTGCACAACTGGGCTACGCTTTCGACCTCAGTGAGCAGGTCGCGTCGCTCGAGCATCTCCTCGCCATCACCCAGCAGCAAGAACTGCAGTCTCAACAACAGCACTTGAAACATCTTGCTGAGCAGCAACAGCATCTCGACCTCTCAACGGCTTTTCACGCCTGAATCATGCCATCTACTGCACTCGCTTTCCGCTTTCTTGCGTCGGCTTTGGCACCGCTCCTCATCCTCCTCTTTTCACTCAGGCCTCCATCTGTATCGTCCGCTCGCGCTACCTTGTAATCTTGTTCGCCATAATCTTTCAGGTATTCGTTCGGAAATGTCCCCGCTCCTCACGCGCGTCTCATCTTCTCTTGCACTTCTAAGATATCTTGCGTCGCTTGTTCTCGCGAACGAATTCCTATCTCGGTACAAATATGTCTCCCTCATACACGTTGGGAATTGCTAATGCACTATGGCTTTCTTACAAATTCTTGTTCCTTTCAGTCTTCATCCATAGAGCACGGCATTACGTGGCCTCTGAGATGGGGATATGTGATGGAAGAATACTCGAGAGGCTCAAGCCTAGCTCGAAGACCCCTAGATGTCCAGACGGTGTGAGCTATGGCTGCGAGACCCTTTGGTGGTCAACGCTCTGACCCCTGCTGGCTAGGGAGCATGCATCACATGGATTCGAGATTCATGTTCAAGCCGCGTGTCATGTGTTGCTCTCTTCCCGCGCAGGGATGACGCGACACGTACGCGTTGAACGAGCGGTGTGTGAAAGAAAGTCCGACAAAGCAGCATGCGCAAACGCGCGTTCGCGCGCCCAGCAGCTCCGTGCGCGCACGCAGTCACCGCGCGAGGGCGGTCGCCTGCGCCAAACAACACGAGGCATGCAGAGGCGCTGCCAGGTTCGTCCTGTGGGTCTCCCTCTCGCAGCGGGTTTTGACTGCAGTCAGTCACAGTCTGCTGGACAACCTGAGTGCGCTCATCACCCGACAATCTTCCATCAGCTCACTACATGCTGTAGAGCTGATCAACTTTGGATTGTCCGGCGCCGAGCCTGCCTTTCTCAAAGCTCCACTCTGAAGGCTTGCTTTTCAGCTCTCCCGGAATATCGCTCGTCGAGCAGAACCAAAAATTCTACCCTCTTCGCACTGCCAGTGGCCCTTGACATTATTCACGGCGCTTGACTTCGTCGCTGCAGCTTCACATATTTTCTCGAGACCTCCACATTACCTCTTTCGATCCTAAAGTACTCATCTCAGCGCGCAGGCTGTTCATGATGTCGGCACCTGCTCCTGTGGGCGTCGAATCGGGCCCTCCGCTTCCCGTCGGCCAATTTGTGGACTTCAATTCTCATGGGCCACAGCCGGTGAAGGCATTCCCTTACGCTTCGCTTGCAGCTATTGAGTCTCAGTCACGACGAGGACCGCCCTCTGCATCAGGATCTACTTCTGGAAGAGCCACGCCAGGAGGGTTGGAACCCCTGCCAGAAGCCTCGCACATCAATGCGCTCTCGGAGGCTTCTGGGCCATCGCCGGCTGGCTTACCGGGTCCGAAAGGCTCAACTTCAGCCACGTCGCGACCCCATGGCAAAGCAGCATCAAGCAGGCTTGAAGGGCTGAACGCAGACATCGATGCGGCTCTAGCTGGCCTTACTCAAGTTCAACGGCTTCGCGCTGTCCTTCGCTCAGAAGGCTACGACAAGATAGTGGTGCCCCTGACGAACGAAAAGTGGAAAGACAGATGGGAGAGAATGTGCTTGGCTCCAGCAACGCCCGTCATGAACGGGCACATGGCTGCTGATGGCCCCGCTCCTGCTCATGATTCACCTGGCGCAAGCGCTTGGGACCAGCCCAAGCATGCGATGAGCAATCCAGGCGCGATGGGTGAGAGCTGGGAGATCTTGACCAGGGAGCAAGGCATGAAGAGGAGCACTTCGCGCCCTCACGTCGCGCTGCCTGACGACTCGCCTCGTCGAGGTGGCACAGCACCGGAGGGAGCTCCAAAGAGCGGTGGTGGCAGCGGACCTGCTGCGACGTTCAAGCGAAAGCTCAAATCGCCGATCATGTCCGGACACGGCTCAGGAGGGAGCAGCAAGAGCCCGCCATCGGAAGCCTCTGCTCCAAGTACAGCCTTTGCGTTCTCATCGGAAACAGAGGAACAGGCGAGAATGCGGGAAGCTGAAGATTGGAGGCGTGCCCCAGCCTTTAGGCGGAACGAAGTGAACATTGCAAAGATTGGTGAGCTGTTACCAGCGCTTGAGGTCTGGACTCCTTGTCCTCGTGCTCATCGACGTCTGGCTCATATACATGTGGACCGGCGCAGATGAGACTGATGGGCTGGTCGCTGTCATAAGTCCTTGGTTGGAGCTTGACTCGCCCGATGAGGGAGTGCGACTGGACAGCGAAATCGTGAGTAGGACGGCGATGCACCGACGTGGGCCGGCGAGAGGGTCACACTCACCATCTTCCACCTGCTGCTTTGGCAACCGTCAGGCGCTTCGACAAGAAGTAGCGTATGCAGCCTTTCTCGGAATCCCCCAAGTCGTGCTCCCAGCACCTTCGAGCTCTCCCTCTCACGTCCCGTTTCTCCCATTCTACGCGCGAGCCATCAGCGGTCTAATGAGCAGCGGCGGGACCGAGACTGCCCCGGCAGGCAGCTGGATGCAGGTGAGTTTAGTGTCTCTGTTTGGCATCGCTCCTCAGTATTATCTGCACACTGAGCTGTTTCGTTTTCTCTCTGCCGCAGCTGTCCCTGCGCCTGCCAGTATCATCAGTACATGCAGCCCGTATCTGGCTCAACAAGCAGGGTGGGGCCAAGTCAAGCAAGTCGACCGAAAGTCTCGATAGCGGCTTCACAAGCGGAACCGAGCGGGATCGCAGCGCCGCAGTGCGAGGTGACCATGACTGGGCTTGGGGCGTCTGGGAGCTGATGCGTCAAATTACTGGATATCCCACTCGGCTCAGCGTAGCTTTGGATCTAGGCGTTCCTCTACCGTCGGCAGCTTCGCTCTCGCATTGGGCGGCTGAGCCTGTGGGATTGGTTCTGATGCCTGCCGGCTCCTTCTTGGCCAACGCGAAAGGGTTCCCGGTATTGTCAAAGGCAGCTCAAAGCCTGTGTCGAAGCTTGATGCGAAGGAAACCGCTCTTCGTGTTGTCTGGCATTCAGGAACCGCCACCTCGACACACTCGAGGAACGCCATCAGGTTATTTGCAATACTTGAGACACATCGAGCGCAGCGCCCCTGCAGAAAGTGCGGTGGATACATTTGCGCGAGGATATGCAGATTGGCTGCAGGCGCCACTGCAGCCTCTGATGGACAACCTCGAAAGTCAAACCTATGAGGTGTTCGAGCGAGACCCCATCAAGGTAAGCGTCTCACAAATTTCGGCGATGAGTAAGCTTTGCTGACGAGAATTCTGTCATTCTGCGGTGCTGTTGTTTGCAATTTGTAGTATCAGCTTTACGAGGAAGCAGTCGCGCAGGCTCTGGCTGATCGTTCGGTCATGGGGGTCATTTCGGTATGGGTGTGCGGAGCAGGAAGGGGACCTCTGGTGTCAAGGGTGCTCGCGGCTGCCACCAAAGCTCGCCGCAACGTCAAAGTCATTGCGCTGGAGAAGAATGCTAATGCGCTGGTCACGTTGCAGGAACGCATCGTCAACGAGTGGGGAGACAAGGTGGAGCTCAGGTTCGGCGACATGAGAACGATGCCTGCTCCGTCTGATGTGCGGCAGCGAGCCGACATTGTTGTATCCGAGCTGCTGGGCAGCTTTGGCGACAATGAACTTAGTCCGGAATGCTTGGATGGTGCGATGCGGTTCTTGAAGCGTGAGTAATTGGTACCAGTGGCTGCTGCTCCTGTGCCTTCAAACCAGAAATGACTGATCATCGCGCGTCTCGCGTCTCACTCGCGTGGGCAGCGGACGGCGTGTCAATACCTTCATCCTATACACCTTTCTTGACGCCTCTTTCGTCTGCAAAGCTCCATAGCGAAGTCCTGAATGTCGGGGGATCGACCGGCAATGCCCCTTCGAGCGGGTCTCTGACGGAACGGTTGACGAAAGCGTCAGAGACACCGTATGTGGTCTTGTTTCAAGCTGTGCAGCTACTTGCGGCTCATGGAGGGAGGGGCAATTGGGAGCAGGTGCAACATGCTTGGACCTTCGAGCACGCGCCTCTCGAAAGCACTCCCACCGTGCGTGGTCACGATGGTGAGTCCCAGTGGCCTGTCTGCCGGAGCAAACTCGGCACTGCTGGACTCACGGTGTTCTGATTCTTGTCACACCAGGTCTTCCGATCACCAACCAACACAATGTGCGCTCGACCACGCACACTTTCCACATTCCGGAAGCCGGTACCTGTCATGGCCTCGCTGGCTACTTTGAGGCGCATCTGTATGGCAATGTGTTTTGCTCCATCCATCCAGACCCAGAACGGACGAGCACGGATATGCTGAGCTGGTTTCCCATCTTCTTTCCGTTCAAGGTGAGTGCCTGCTTGGAGTGCCTCAAAACGCTGACACTTGCTGAACTCCTCCTTCTTCGTGTACATTTACAGGAGCCGCTTTATCTTCCAGCCAAATCAGAGCTTGACGTCAGCATGTGGAGATTGACTTCGGACAGAAAGGTGTGGTACGAGTGGTGTGCGCAAGCGTACCTATCTGGTGCTGCGCTAGCGATTCAGACAGAAGCAGAGGTCAGACCTTCGGCACGCCGACAAGCCTCTATACCAGGGCTGAGAACGGTATCGGCAGCGTCCAACGATTCTCACGACGCGGGTGCCAATGGAGCCTTCGTGAACGCGCCCAACACGCCTGGCATGCCAAGTGTGCTTTTGCCGAGCGCGAGCGACGAGGTGCATCCACATTCTGGTGCAGCTGCAGCCATGGGAAGGCCCAAATCTGTGGCTGGCAACCACGTCGCCACGAGCAACATCGTTATTCCTCAACGCATCTACATCGCTGGGACTGCTCTGCACAATCCGGGAGGGAGGTCAAGCTTCGTCGGCATGTGAATGCGAAGGCACGATCTTGCGCAGCTTGTCTGTTCTTTACCCTCTGCCTCCCTCTTCCAAAATTGCTCCCCGATCTTCCTTGCCGCTCCCTGAGAGGCACTGCCTGGTAGAGCTGTTCGATCGTTCGCGTTTGTGTAACAAAATCTCACTCCGTGCTGCATCATCTAATTGTCTTCGCTTGCGGCAATGTGGAAGGCATGGATCCGATTGTGCTGATCGTGGACAGCGTGAACTGATCTTGGGAATTCTTTCTCAGCATCACCCACTCGAGGCCTAAGCGCTTGCGTGTAGGTCTTTGATCAGCTTTGCACACGCGTGCTCGCGACAGCAAGGTCGATGACGCTGCAGGTGATGCTCCCTCCGTAGTCGTAGACGGTCCGTGATGGGAATCAAGAGTCTGCTCCGAGAAGGAGGGACAGGCTTGAACCCTGAACGGCTATCTGCATGCTGCAGGTCCTGTGCGAAGTGCTGAGCTGCAAAACGCCGACCTTTTCACGCGCTCGACCGGATTTGGGATGCTCTTCTGCTGACGCTGCTCTTGCTGCTGCTGGCGGTGGTACGCGCTGCTTGCGCACCTGCTGCATGCTGCTGCTCCACATCGTTCACGATTCACGCGATTTGCATTCAGCCGCGTGAATTGCAGCTACGCAAGCTTGGACGGTGGGACGATTGCGGGGAATTGATTCGCTAAGATGTTAAATTGGACCTTCATTTCGACAGCTGTGGTCATGACTCGCGACCTCATTTGTGATTCGTGATTCCCTTCAGCTACGAACGCAGCTTGACTTCCACCAGTCCGTCAGTCAGGATTCTGCAAGATTCGCGACTTGCTCCTGTGAATGAAGTGAGTTAGGTGAAGATGACCATGCCCATGCGAGGTTGGCTCGACGCCGTGGAGAAGCTTCGGCTCACCTGTCCAGCTTGGTCCCTCTAACGTTGTCTGTAGTCTCGACATCAATCCGCGTGTCTTCTATTGTTTTCATCTCGGCCACAGATCCATTTCGGCATTCACGCGGGGGGGTTACATATCGCTTGTCCATCACGTCTCCCCGTCCCAACGTACACAGCACCTGCGCAGCGCCAGCATCACTGCCCGCTTAGAAAATGTCCGAATCAGTAAAGATCCTCTCTCAGAAGCTGGACTTCGGCAATGGCAAGGTCGCCCCTAATAGGCTGGTCAAGGCTCCCATGGAAGAGATGCTGGGACGATTTGGTGGGAGCGCACCGACTCCCGCCCTCCTGAAATTGTACAGGCACTGGGCCAAGGCTGGTTGGGGTATGGTCATCACTGGTGAGCACCGAATGTATGCGCGCTCTTTCTGCGCTGCCGATGTCGAATGACTGAGACAGTCAAACAATGACCTGGCCCTGTGCTCATTTTGATTCTCAGGCAATGTAGCTGTGGATCGGACGCATCTTGGTTTTCCTTGGGACATCTCGTTTCCCTCGCCGCCTCATTCTGATGCTCTCATCTCAGACTTCAAAGCGTACGCCGAAGCATCTTCGGGAAGAGACAATTCATCAATTGACGAGGCAGATCGCCCGCTGGTAGTGGTACAGCTGGTCCACGCTGGCAGACAATCTCTACGAGGCTCAGGTCGAGCTCCTTGGAAGCCAGCTTTGGCCCCCTCTGCTGTCCCCATGAGACCTTCTGAAGGCATGGGCGTCGTCGGCAAAGCGCTAGACTGGCTTCTGTGGGGTACGCCGAGAGCTATGACCCTGCCAGAAATCCAAGAGATGGTGAACCGGTTCGCAGCTGCGGCTGAGGCTTGCTCCAGGGCTGGATTTGATGGAGTTGAGCTGCATGCCAGTCACGGGTGTGTACAATCACAACAACGCTTGTCGGATCCAGATAGTACAATGAGCTTACTGTAAACATCCTCGCTGCTTCCGCCCGCTTGATCGTCCAGCTATCAGCTATCAGCTTTCCTAAGCCCGAGGACCAATCTTCGCACCGACGCATACGGCGGCGATGCCCAGAGACGAGCACGCATACTGCTTGAAATTGTCACTGAAGCACGCAAACGGGTCCCTCGAGGATTCCTAATCGGTGTAAAGGTGAATTAGCCGCGAGGAAGCTGTTCGGCCCAGTGCACAGAAGATTCACCTGGCGTCACCGCCCATCCATTCCATGCTGCAGCTCAACTCAAGCGATTACATTCAAGGTGGATTGACGGAAGATGATGCATTGCTCAACGTGCGTTGGCTGGCGGAGCATGGTGGAGTTGACTTTGTCGAGATCAGGTACGTCTGCTGCTGCTGCGCGCGCGGGAGCCCTTCTCCGAGGTTGCCCTCGCTGACTTCAAGGACTTCATTCTCACACAGCGGGGGCAATTATGAGAATCCTAGTATGTTCGGAATGCGCAGCTGAAAAGACTGGCAGATCAGATAGCTGAAGCACCCTACACAATCTCTAACCCTCGGCCTTCTGGCGGTCAGGCTTCATGACCGAAGGTTTCGACGCCGAGGAAGAAATGCGCAAGTTGCAAGGGGACACATCGGTATCTGCACCACAGCGAGGCACAGAGGCGTCTCAAATGCAGAAGGACCAGGGCGCCCGGAGTGCTCGTTCTCATGCTCGGGAAGCATTTTTCCACAACTTTGCTAAGAAGGCGCGGGACAACCTTCCAGCTTCAAGCTCGACCAGGTTGATCGTCACTGGTGGGCTGAAGACAAGAGCAGGAATGGCGGGCGCGATCGAGAATACTCATGTGGATGGCGTTGGCATCGGTCGGATGGCTGCTGTGTATCCGGACCTGCCTCGAAGGGTGCTCGACCAGAATGTTGTAGACGACGAAGACCCCAGAGCGAACGGACCTAAGTACGTCATTCCTGGATCAGGACTGCTGGGCTACATACCGATCAAGTTTGTCGGCGCGGGTTGGGGAACGTAAGTCATATGAGCTGAGTGAATCGTCTTCCTGTTCTTTTCGCTGGTCGCTCACCGCTCCTGCTTGCCTGCCCTCTTTGCCCCGGCCAGAGTGTGGCATAACGGCATGATGTCCTACCTCGTTCTAGACAAGAAGCCCGACGTCCACGCCAGTACGCCTCGAATCTTGCTCGGCATTTTTGCGCCGTCAGTGCTTCAGCTACGCATACACGCGTTCATCGCTGCCATACTGGTCTTCCTCGTGGCTTTCCTGCCTGGCGTCGCTCGACAGAAGACCGTGTAGTGGTGCCCGGATGGTCGTCCCTAGCGCTGGAAGAAATTCCCTCTGATCTCGAGGTGATCTTGCGGGTTGGGACAAGTTGATGTCATGCCTATACTTCAATTCATTATTCGACGGAATCCCGACATCCATCGTCCAGATGTGCCAAGTAACACCTTGCATGCTACATCAGGGAAGGCATGACGCATTCGTGACTTGAACGGCAACAGATTTGAAAGTTGAAAGGCGCACAAGGGGAGCTCATCGCAGCTTCTGAAAGGGATCCAAGGAGGAAGAGGATGCGCGAGATTCAAGTTGTGTCTTTGTAGGAGTATTCAAGTCCCAGAAACGAAGTGTCTCGTCTCCAGCGCCCGTGACAATGCTTTCTCCGTCCGGACTCATGGAGAGATAGAGAACGCGCATGGTATGCCCTGTGAGAGTAGCCACTTGCGACATGGTAGGGTACTTCCAGACTTGAATTTGATTTTGGACTTTGCCGGTCGAGTAGCCATGGGTGGAAATGATCTCGTTCGCTGTCTTGCTCCATGAAAGATTGCACACTTGCGATCCCGTGTCGGTCTCCGAAAGCATTTGGCCAGTGATCGTATTCCAGAACCTGATACGCATATCCGCTGTGCCTCCACCGGAAGCCAGTAGGCCTTGTTGGTGTGGGCTCCAAGCTATGGCTTTGACAGCGGCAGTGTGCTCAGCAAAGCGATGCAACGGGACTGTGCTCATGCCGTCCCACACAAGCAGCTTGTTATCGTTCCCTCCACTGGCTAATTGGTTAGTCGTTGTGTTCCATTTCAGCCCGCAGACTTCTTGCTTGTGCGCCTTTAGCTCGGCGACCCAGTGCTCAGGAACTCGTGTGTCACGGTGGTAGATGACCTTGTCTCTCGAGCCGGTTGAGAGCAGTCCCAGGTTCCATGCCAGCGCACCGACCCGATTCTGGTGACCCGACATTGTGCGCACCCTGCTCTCGTGCTCCACATCCCAGATCTGGACTTCGCCTTGATCAGTACCCACCGACAAATACTTGCCCTGCGTGGTGGAACGGCGAAAGTGCATGTCAGACAAGAGCTTCGGCAGAAGCAAGTGGCTGAGCACCTTGCATACTCACGTTGTTGGACCAATTTAGTCCGGTGATCCGATCATCGCCATCCGTCAGATCAACGAGCTTCACAACCGAAGACGTCTTGGCTGACCAAAGGTACACGCATTGGCCGAGAGCAACAGCGAGCACGTTCAGCGGGGACCAGTCGACCAGGTTGAGGTAAAAGTCATTCTGCCGATTAGGAAGGGGAAGCAGGGGAAGCGGTCAGCTGATGCACCTGCTGGTGACAGCTTGCGCACCCGACCAACTCACCGCCAGATCAGGCGCATCCAACACCTTGAACGCGACCTTGCTTAACGTCCTTGCCGGTTTTCGAGGGTGCAGGAGCATCCGCTGGCTCTCAAGGTTGACAGGACTCAGGCTGTATGCGGAGTGAAGGGGAGAGTCGAGCGAGGCGACCTGACCCCGCTTTGTGGGTGAAGTTGAAGCAGCTCCGAACAGGCCTGAGCTCGAGCGTCCGCCTGCAGATGCTGAATAAACCCCTACGCGCTCCGATCCTCCACTCCGACCAGGAGTACCTAAGCTCCGCGACGAAGAAGGAGAGGGTGTATGCGAGTAGGTAAGAAGGTTTTTCTTCTTCGGTGTGGTTGGTCCAGCTGGGTGATCCGTAACCTGCCCGGTGCCTCCAGCTCTATGAGACGGACCAGCGCCGTTCGCGAACGGAGCACCATGAATTCCGGCGACCAGGTCACTCGCGCCCGGACCAAGCAGCTCAGTTGTCAGCAGAGATGAGAAGGTGTGGTCGGCTTCTTCTGCGCAGGAGGTACACAGTGTAGAGTGAGCAACCCAGACCGGCAAAATACAAGGCACGTAAGCCAGGAACTGCGACGCACCTTTTTGAGCATCCATGTCCACTGCCATCTTTCGCTTTTGCCGCTTTTTAGACGCGGCTTCATGGACACCTAACTGATACGCAGTGGTTACATCGGTGCCATTCCGAGCTGGGATGAATCTGTAGGCATCACCGCGACTCAGCACCAGCGCATATATGCGCATCTTGCAACTCTTGCTTCACTCACCTGTCACCTGTGATCTTGGCCTTCGCCCTTTTTGGCGTCCCTGGGTGGTCTGAAGTTGTAGCCGATGAGCGTGCGTTGCTGATGCCGCTATCGTCAACAGCGGTGGCAATGCTCGAACCAATCATTCCTGAACTTTGCACCCCCAAGTCTGGACCCTCGACAAGCCGACTCGAGCTGGCGTGCCCGGATTGTCTTCGAGGTTGTATTTCCAGATCGCTGATGCTGGCCAAGTTGTGCTGTCTATCATGTGCGCGAGAAGCTCTTCCGCTTGAGTCACCGGCGGTCTGCAATTGGTGACGAGATGAAGAGGGAGAGGAGCTGCCAGCCCCAGCTGAATGCGTGCGCAGACGGCGACCAAACTCAGAATGATACATGCTGGGCACCGCTTCCAGGTCGTGGTGGCAAGGTGCGCAGATCCCCTTCAGGTGATGTCAAGGGCAGTGTTGGGTGAGTGACCAGCCGTCTCGCGGTGACAACGTTCTGAGGACCTTGGGAAGTCGCTTGCCTCGCCCGCGACTCTGCTCAAAAGCGACTCATGACTACCGTATTTCCCGTTGAATCGTCTATCACGATGATGCGCTGCTGTTGTGTATATGCGGTAAGGATCAGCACGCAGCATCTAGGAGCGTCGCGATGCTCACACAACAATCGTGCATCCGTTCACGTGACTCGGAGGACCCCACAAGCTCCGCGGCCATTCGGAGAAGCGTCTCACGTGCTGCGTGACCCTGAGAACAAGCAGCATCTTGAATAAACACCCGCCGTGCGCGGGCGCGTGATCGTATGCGCGGGGCTCAATCAAAAATGAGAAAAGTGACGCTTGCATTCAAGATTCAAATTCAAATTGCATCCTAGCTTACTCGTCACGATTCAGCATGCATTCAACAGCCAAACAGTGGGTGAGTCAAGAGTCTGATGAGTGTGGTTCGTTCAATTACGAACGAAAAGCAATCAAGAATTGAATCGATGCGTGTGTCGTGATTCACGTGATTTAGATTGTTGTACTATACGGCCAGCACCTGTTGATGAGTCTTGCTGAAGGCACCACTCAATCAAAATGATGCGCTAGCTCACCGCGCGTGGCTCAGCAGCAGGGCATTAATTCGTGGTGGTTGTACGTGACACAACGGCGCGGTGCCTCCACAAATGACCCTGAAGACTCAAGACTCTTGACTTGACTCAAGAAGACTGCTGTCGACGCTTGGCGCCCGCGTGCCTATATGAAAAGAAGGCTCTATCCCTCTTCTACAAGTCACGAGTCTGATGAGTCACGAGTCAAAGTGCTCGATCATCAGCTATAGTCAAAAGTCAAAAGTGCACGTATGCGTCAGTCAGAACGGGGTCTCAACTTCCGAAGCTGTCATTCAGCCCACGCGTGCTTCGATGCATGCAATCAAAATCAAGCTAGTTAGCGTGCATGCAGACGCGGGATCGGCCGTTGAGGGAAAGGTAAGGGGGTTTGCGCGTTTAGATGCTTAGACGTCAGCCGCCGCGGGCTCCAAGGAAAACGCCGCAACACCTGCCCCGGGTGTCACCAGCAGCCCTCACCACCTCGTCCTCTGGATCGCTGAATTCGTGATTGGTTGGATGTGCGCCGCGAGCGCGAAGACTTCAAGTCGAGCTCAGGGACGGCTGTCCCCAGTGAACCGAGCTAAATTTGTCTCGCTGGCAATGGACGAGTATAGTGTCATCGTGTACCTTGGATGGTCCCTTGATTAACAGCGGGGCACCGGACCCCACCGCGGCGCGGTCACGAGTCTGGATGGCGAATGCCAAACGAACACCAATCACTGTGAATCGCGAATCAGGATAGGATATGTATGGAAGCCACACGTCCATGCTGCATGGAATCTACTGCTGTATGAAACTTCGACCGCGGCAGAGCTGGTGCGATATCCATGATGAGTCATGGAAGGGCTACAGCAACGATGCCCCATTCAAGCGATTCGCGATTCAGACCCGAAAGACAGGCACGTTGTGGCCAGCACAGTTTTTGTGCATGGACCTCAGAAGTGAGGTAATGGGGCGCTAGGAGCGCTCAAGCTAGAGCTGAGGAATCCATCCAGCCAGCGAGTGCTATTCACGCTATCAATCAAGCGCTCGATTTGCTTCTGCTGTCAAGGTGCCGCGGCAGGTTGTCAGGCTGCAGATGCATCGACATGGGCGGGCACCTTCATCAGTGATCGATTGATGCCAGAGGGTTGGAAGAAGTCTGCGCTGAGATTGCCACACTGCTCTGGCGCTGTCCAATTGCGACAACTCTGACTGTTAGTCAGCCGTTGGATCGAGCCGGCCAAGACCAAACCTATCTACTTGCGATTGACTGATATGCAAGGCATTCTCCCATGCGACGCATCAACGCAAAGCAAAGCTCATCACGAATCAACTCGTATGATTCTGACCGAGTAGTCAGAGTGCTGAGCGGATAGGCAGCCCTCCGCGCAGCTCACGTCCTAGCAAAGAGGAATCAAGGTGCTGGACTCACGACTGCAACTCGCTCGCCTTTGAGGGGGAGGAGCCTCATCACAAGACACTGCTCAAGGCGGGCTGATGTGCTCGCAAATCAGCGTGCCTCGATCTTGGTCGAGTGCCATCACGCAACAGCGTGCAACCTAGCCAGCAAGTACCTTTGACCAGCAGAAACGCTCGGAGCGCTGCCTGCAGCGCGGCAGAGCGCAACAAACCATGCGCGCGAGCGTTGGCCTGCTGTGTTCTTTCAGCTATAACGGACAATCAGCAGCTTCGATAGCAAGAGCTGGCACACTCATGCAAGTCAGCGCACTCGATCCCTGCTGCGCACTCCAACGTCTCCATTCGATCAAAATTTTGCACTCCGCCAAGTCACGAGTGTGTGGCCCGTCGATCGCTCACATCATTCGGCTGCATCTTCCACAGGCCCGTCTCCTTCAGTCCAAATCGCTTGAAGCTCGACCGTTGAGGCCTCGCCCACGATGCAACACACCTTCAGCGCAACCAGTCTGGCTCTTGCAGCGCTTCAAGAATGTCAAGGCAGCTGCCCTTCTCCGCCACATCCTCAGCTTCGTGGCCTCATTCCCGCCCGGATCGATCAAGCCGTCGTTCACTCGGCCGTTGAGGAGCTGCACACGCTAGTCGAACTCGATCCAGACCATCTGTCACCCGTCCGTTGAGGGCTGTGCTACACACGCTACGCATGCTGACCCAAGCTGTGGACCTGGTCTACCACGGCTCGAATGCGCACAATGGCGCCTCGCTGGCAACTTCAGTCAACCGGGAGAGGCGCAACCCTCAGCGCAACACGAACATGCCAGGAGTTCGCGCATCCCACCGTCTGCCAAGGCATTTGGAACGACTCGCTATGGACTCATCGTGAGATGCGCGCCAGCAACACCGCTCGCTACAGAAATGATTCCGGGCACCTAGCCAGCGACACACCCTTCGACACAAGCTTGCTTTCGAGATTCGACAACTTAGCATGCAGGTGCTGAGTCCAACAGCATTCCTGAGCGAGTGCGCCTCGAGCAGGTGCTTCGGCGCGAACAGGCCCCACAAGCTCACCTCAAGGATCAAGATTCGGTCTACTTCAAAAGGGCTTGACTTCGCTCGCTCGATTCCTCTTCCCCTCTCTCTTCATCTTTCGCGAATCTCGATCTCTCCGCCGCTTCTTTGACGAGAACGCTACTTTGAGCTCTTCATTCTTCGAGAACCCGATTGTACGTATTACGTGGACGCCGACGCGGACCATGGCTTGCTTCCGTCTTGTCGACGTCGGTGCTCACTCGTTGCCTCTTCTTCTTCTTCTCTCCAGTTCAACGAACAGCCGCTTTTTCTTCTTCGCCCTTCCTTCAAAACAATCAACAATGTCGGCTGTTCCTCCTCCTGCCGACCTTGCACCTTCCACGCCACCACCCCCATCTTGCCCTCCCCCGCCCATCCCTCCTCCTCCTCCTCTTTTCCTTGGGAACGACGAGGACGACGAGGACGAGGACGACGTCTTGCCCCCTGTGAGCGTGCAGTGTGGCAATTACCCAAGACTCTCGCTGGCCACAACTCTGACATCGTTCTCAACCCATCTCTCTCCTCGTCCACAGCCCGTCAAGAGCGAGGCTACCTCGTCCCAATCTTCTCTGGATGATTGGGAACCTGTAACACCTCCTTTGCGTGAGTGGGTTCCGACTCGTGCAACAACGGCAGAGGTCATCCAAGCTCATCCCCTTGGTATTTTCGCTTCTCTCACAGCATCATCAGCCCCTTCGGGCACATCAAATTTATCACTAGAACCGTCATCCACATCACTCTTATCAACCATTCGTGAGTGTCAACGCTACGCACGCTGCCGGCCAGCATCTTTCGTGCACTCGCTGACCTTTGCGCCCGTGTCCCGCCGCAGCTACTTTATCCACGGACGGACGCTCGGTCAAGTTGGAGTGCGACCACGGTAAGTCTCACTTGACCGAACGTGGGCTGGAACCGCCAACGATGACTCACGATGGCTACCTCCTGTCCCGCGCTCTACAGGTAGTGCACCTTCGGACGCTTCGGCGCCATCTGGATCTGGTCACCCTGTTGGTGAGTATGACCTACGCCCATCGTCCCCGAAGACAAGTCAAATCGAAGCTCACGCGATACCTCCCTGTATTTTGTGACAACAGTCGCTGCCGCCGCCGGATCGGGCGCATCTACGGAGATTCATCACTCTAGAGACGGTGCGTTCTGATAAGACTCCATTCTACAGCATTGACAACGTGACTGATCGAAGTCTTCCGGCGCACCGACTACAGAAGACTCTGCCAGTCGAGCCATGGAGGCCAGGCTTCACATCCGCCTCCAGCTCATCAATCGCGAAGCTCAGCCTTTGCGCACACGACATTCGTTGGCAGAGATTCAACAACACTCGCTCCAGCCAATGTCGTTGTTGAACGAGCAATGCGCCCACTCTGCTCGCGGCGCGATCTGCAGAGCTTGCGCCACCAAGTCGCTCACTGCCCGCCTGGACGACTTGGACAAGCAGGCCCGGAAGGTGTTGGACGAAGAACCGCAGCTTCCCGAAGGGGTTCTCAAATTCATGCTCGCCGCCATCGTCCACTACAAGAAGGCCATTTGCGAGCTGGAATACGAGGACCCTAGGAGAATGTTGTCGTGTCACGCCTTCCAGGCCGGCGGTCAACAGCCCGAGCGCGAGGAGGATGCGAACGAAGAGGACGAGGACGAAGAGGACGAGGACGAAGAGGACGAGGTCGGTGAGATCGACGCCGATCATGCCAGCGATGGAGATTACTCGCCTCCAGGCGACTGGATGATCGACGACGTCAACGACCAGGACGACGACGACGATGATGAAGATGGTGGTAGCTCGGACGACGACCTCTTGGAAGAGACCTCCGCGACGCTGGCCACTTCTCGTCGTGGGGATCGAACCTCAACGCCATTGTCAGAGGGCTCGTCTGCTCTGTCCGACGCGCCATCGTCTTCAGCACCATCAAGGCAACGCGCCCCTAGTGAGACCGAAGGCCAACTTCCTGCGACCAAGCGCAGGCGCTTCGGTCAGACCGACGCTTCCTCGTCGTCGCGCGTCGCCGCAGCTGGATCATCTTCCAACCTGCTGCCGTCGTCGCCGACGCCGACACCGACGCCAGCGCATCAAGCTGGTTCGTCCTCCAACCTGCTGCCCTCTTCGCCAATCTCGGATGCTAGCCCATCGCATCCGACTGGTGGTCCGCTGGCTGGTTTGTTGCCCTCTTCGCCTGTTCCGACGCCCAACCCCGCGCCGCCACAAGCAGGTCCAAGCTCAGGACCGAGTACACATGGCATCTCGTCATACAACTTCCTGATCGCGGGCACCACCTTCGCCTGCCGCACCGAGCTTGCTGGTTCAGGCTCGGTAAAGGTGACGGTGGGATTCATGATCGGGCACGACGATTGCTATCTGTCGCCTGTGGCGGTCCGGAGGCTTGGACACGCCTTGTTCGGAGCAACAGGTCCTGCCCAAAAGACCTTCAGACTCCACTTCAAGGCTTTCAGCCAGTGGAAGGGGGGGCGCGCCGTGTCCAAGACGAAGCCGGGTGTGTTCGAACTGATCCTCAAGCCGGACAACTTTTCGCGAGGTCAGTTCGAACGCTGGAATCGCTTCGCTCCGCTTGCAGAGAAGAACAACCTCGATTTTATCTTTGGGGTCGATGCTCTGCAGCGGATGTCGCTTTTCGAGCACGATGGCGAGCACTACCTTCGCCAATCGTCGGACGGACACATGGTCCGCTTGGCCAAGTTCGCCCCACCTTCGTAGGTGGTGGCCACTGGCGCTTCTTATTACCGTTACAGTCCCTACTGCGTTCAAGTATCGTCTTGCGCAGAGATATCAGATTATCCTTCCCCAAGCAAGACGTCGCCCCTATCTCCTTATCTGTATATTAGATCTCGCACGACTCGGCGCACCTCCCGCGCCGGTACGAGAGCGCCTCAGCGTCCGAGAATTTATCGTTACTTCCTTTCTTGTTGCCGTTTGCCGTGTCGAGCGATCTCTACTGGCACTGAGCCTCGCTTCGTTGGGGACTTTGGGGTTGTCTCTTATCCACAGGAGTATGCTCAACTGCCGATCGAGCGATTTCAATGTGGCGCCGGAAGCGTCCTGGCTACTTGTGATACTACGACTACTACCACAAGCATGCTGTTGCTACTACCGCAGCTCCCCATCTTTTGCAATGCGTCTCAGGACTCGAGTCGTGAATGTTCAATACATCCACACGGGGTACTATCAGAACCTCGACTGACATGGATATCGACAAAGTTTAGACCAGAAACGTTCGAGTCTTTGAGTCTCGTGGACTGATGTGTTCGAAATTGGTATGTGCAAGTCTAGTCTTGAGTCGTGGGTCCCGGTACGCTTGACTCAGACGCTTGACTGGTCCTTCACGTCACAAATGGAAATTCACATCCAAGCTTTTGATACCTAATCCATAGACGGTCCAGGGTCTGATCAAGGTCTCAAAAGTGACCTTGGGGCGTGGATCATGCATGGAGGTTGTTCAACTCTTGACTGGTACCGGTAAACTTCAGCTGGCTGTCGAGTCACAAGTCTTGAGTCTTGTGAAGGTGTGGTCAAAAGTAGGCTTTGCGGTGCAAGGTACCGCTGTAGGCACATGCAGCACGTGCCGCGACCGCACCACGCGAACAGATCCGTATGCATCGCTTTGTGCAACGCGACCTGCGTGGATCGTGCGCGGAATCGCGAACGATTCGACAATCACGATCACCCGCGCTACATCCGGTCCTTTCGCAAACCTGCCCTCACTTCGCCCCTCATTCCGCTATTTTCTGGTTGTGGCTCGCATTGCACGATACGATTCAAGCAGCACGAAACCTTGGTCACGATTCCATCGCCCAGCGACCCGCAACACCGTATCGGTGGTGTGTTCGCGCCCGCCAGTGCGCATCCACGCCAGCCTGATTGTTCAGATCAGTCGGGTCCGCAAACGTGGTCCTGACGCTGGTTGCGAGCACACCATCTTTTGGTTCTGCATCTCGCCGCGATGGCTGCGGCAGATGGAGGCTTGCCGCCATCGGCGTCCATCATGTCTCTCAATAGCAATGCCAATGGCGCTGCAGGCTCGCGCGCGAGCATCAGTCGTTTCCCTATCGCTCTGATCAGGGCCTACCTGGAGTTACTGTTGCCGGTGGTCATGGCAGCTACACCGGCCGCCCTTGAAGAGTCGCTGTTCTCATCTTCCCTTGGCGATGTCGACGACGACGCCAAAGGGGACGGCTGGCACTCCGTCGCATCTGCATTTGCCACGGATCCTTCCACCATGACAGTGTACATCGACAAGGTCAGAAGAGATACCAGCGGATCAGGTAGCGACGGTGAGTAGCGCTGCATTGGCTCAAGCAAGCCAAGAAAGGTTCGCCAAGCTCAATGCCGGCCCGCTCATGCTTTACCGCACAGGACTCTTCGAGTACCGATTGGATACACACCCTACGTATAGCCCGCGACACGTATCTTCGATAGCCTTGATCAAGCGCGCAGGCGCTCTCGATCCGGCTCTTCCCCTTCAGCAGCAGGTTCACGTTCTATCCCTGTTCGGTCCCGCATCTGAAGCGGGCAGGCACGCCAGCGCTGAGGGCGTCGCCGCCGCGCCTGAGCTAGGTCGTGAAGATGGTCGAGGCGGAGAAGAGGAGGGCACCACGATCAACATTCGAGAGTCTCCGTACGAAGCTTTGCACTCGGTGGTGCACCACGTCATGGCGCCTTGGTTTGACGCGTACGTCAGCAGCAAGGAAGACGACTCGAAGACTTCTGCAGCCAAGGCGGCCAAGCCCAAGAGTAAAGATGCTGATGCCAGGATAGGTGCGTCTTTGCGCGTTGATACCTCTCTCGAGACAAGCTAACGTGATGCCAACTTCACGTAGGTGTGCCCATGGCCAAGCGAAAATTTGCAGAGCTGGAGCTCAGCTTGCTGCACCTGCAGCAGAACGTCGAGATTCCAGAAGTGTATCTGAGCTGTCACCCTCAAGTCCGTGCCACAGTCGAGAGGTGTCAAGCAGCAAAAAGCAAGGCAACTGTGGAAGAGGTGCGCCCGAGCTCCCTCCTGCAGGACAGCACGTTTCTCAACCAACTGCAATCGGACGTGAACAACTGGGTGAAAGAGGTGCAGTTGGTTACACGCCTCGATCGCGATGTCAGCTCCGGTACTGCGTCACAAGAAATCAATTTCTGGCTTTCCATGGAGCGCGCGCAAGATCACATTGAGCAACAGCTGCGATCCGAACCAATCACCCTCACGCTTGATATCTTAAAGCACGCCAAGCGCTTTCACGCGACGGTCTCTTTTCTGGCCGACACTGGCCTTAAGGACTGCACCGAGAAGGTCCAAGCCTACAACATCCTTATGAAGGAATTTCCGCTTGACAGCCTGTTGTCAGCCACTGACTTTGACAAGTGCATCGACGCCGTGCAAGCTGTCTTCAATCACCTCAACAAGAAGATGCGCGTAAGCCCATACCCAGTCAAACGCGCCCTTCCGCTGGTCGAAGCCATTTCGCGCGACGTAAACGACGCCGTCCTCAAGATTTTAGGTGCTCAACGGGTGATGTATCAAGACTTCTCGCGGTTCTGCGACACGATGCAAGGAGCTGGAGATGTCTTTGCAACGTGGGATGACGTAATGCGCGAGTTCGTCAACATCGCACGTGAAGTCACGCGCAAGCGCTCGGAAAAGTTCATGCCCATCAAGATCAATCCCGCACATGCAAAGCTGCGGGAGAGACTCAATTACTTGAGCGCATTCAGGTGAGCACCGGTTTCACGCTCGTCATGCGGCAGTGACTGACCTGAACGCCATCGAACACCAGGAAAACGCATGAACAGCTGCGTGTCATGGTGACTTCAGGGCGGGGAATCGCTCTAGCCGCGAGCGGTGGCCAGACAGGTCTCAACACCAGCGGCATCGCCAGAACTCAGGCGAGTGCCCACGCCTTCTCTGGAATACAAATGGCCGACGAAATCACAGACGCATTTGACGTCGTCAAAGTTGTGGACGTTCTGGACGTTACCGATGAGGGTACTGCAATATGGTCTGCGGCCGAAAGTGCTTACAACGAGCGCGTGGCGCGTGTGGAAAATGGCCTCATTGCAAGACTCAGAGACTTGCTCGGCCAGGCTAAAAATGCTCGGGAAATGCTCAGAGTCTTGAGCCAATTCAACACTCTATTCGTGCGCCCCAAGGTCCGCGGCGCTGTACAAGAGTATCAACAGCAGCTCCTCAACAGCGTGAAGAGCGACATAGCGGGTCTGCACGACAAATTCAAGGCTCAATACCGTCCTTCGGAAGCCAATCACATGTCTCAACTGCGCGACATCCCTGAAATTGCGGGTGCGATCATTTGGGCTAGACAGATCGAAAGACAGCTCATGGTGTACATGAAGCGTGTCGAAGACGTGCTTGGAAAAGGCTGGGAGCTATATGCCGAAGGCCAGAAATTGCGATCTGAAAGCGAGACATTCAGTCGCAAGCTTGATACCCGTCCCCTTTTCGACGGGTGGCTGCACGACATCAACAGGCGCGACATGACCATATCCGGACGTCTCTTCGAGGTTTCTCGAAATCGTGCCACTGGCCAGTATTCCTTGGGAGTCAATTTTGACCCTCAAGTCATAGCGCTCTTCAAGGAAGTCAGACATTTGTCTTGGCTTGGATTCCAAATTCCGCACCTGATCAACAACTTGGCGCGCGATGCAAAGCGCGTCTATCCGTACGCAGTCAGTCTGATGGAAACCGTCCGAACTTATAATCAGACATGCGCACAAGTTCGGGAGCATCCCAGAATCGCTTGCCTGCTTGCAAGAACCCAGACCGACGTCCACAATCTGATCACATCGGGCACTACACTGCGGTGGGAGCACTTCGCGAACGCGTACGAGAGTCATCGAGCGATTGCAGCCTACTTGCCAGCTTCGTCAACTGCAGGTGACGGGCTGCGAGACAACAAGCAAGTCAGCTATGTGAGGGCTTTTGCTAGCGCTGTGAGCGTGTTCCAAGATCAGACCAACGCACTCATCAATATGAATGGCGAGACCTCCATCTTGGTCGACGAGCTGGCAAGCTGCACCTACACCCGCTCGGCTTTTGCAGAGAGGCTTGCCAAAATCCAGAAGACCATCGATCGTCTCAATCTAGACGGATACCCAAATCTTGACGACTGGGTTGCCGAGCTCGACGCGCGGATAGAGCAGGTCCTCATGGAGAGGCTGCGCCTGATTTCCATAGCTTGGTGCGAAGAATTTGCGCGAAGCGAAGAGACTCGGGAAGGTGGAAGTGCAGGTGCGGCACACCGCGAGAATGGAGCTCCTGGGGGGCGCCACCGCCGTCGCGATGTCAAAGAAAACCGACTCTCTCCGGCTGAGAAAGTGAGTATAAATTGACGGTCATGCCAGGCGGACCAGTCGCTTCAGCTGAACGCCGCTTTGTCACCCTCGCTTTGCGCAGGCCGCGCTTGAACGCGATCATGTCGAGCTATCACCCGTCACACACGAAATCAGAATTAGGAACCAAATTATCTATCTGGATCCGCCTATCGAACACGCTCGAGCCAGCTGGTTCACCCAACTTCATGACGTCTTGGGAGTAGCTTGCGGCTTGCGTCGCGTACAGAGCGCACGCTACGAGATGGGCGTACAGATGCAAAAGCTTGCTAGGGATGTTACGACCGCCGACGTCACGTACGCTGGACTGTTGACCCGCTTCGAGGACACTACTTTGAGCCGGCCTTTCGCCCTTATCGAAGCCAAGGTACAGGAGGTCGGCCGCTACGTCGCCAAATGGCTGCGATTCCAAAACCTCTGGGACCTTGAAGCCGAGCATGTCTATGCTACTCTGGGCGATTCGCTCGCTCGATGGCAACAGCTGCTGGCTGGTATTCGCAAGACGCGAGCAACTTTCGACACCTCTGATACCCAACGAGCCTTCGGAATGGCGGTCATAGACTACGAGCAAGTTCAAAGTAAAGTCAACGCAAAGTACGATGCTTGGCAGCGCGATGTGCTGAATCGTTTCGGAACAAAGCTGGCTGCAGAGATGCGCGAGACGTATGCGGCCATTCGCAAAGCCAGATACGATTTAGAGCAGCACAGCATCGAATCCAGCTCCACTGCGCAGACGGTCACTTTCATCACGTTTGTCACGGACTTGAAGAGGCAGACCAAGAAGTGGTCACCTCAGATGTCCATCTTCGCCACTGGTCAGAAGACTTTGGAGCGTCAGCGCTACATGTTCTCGCAAGACTGGCTATATGCAGATCAGGTGGAGGGTGAATGGAGCGCATTCAACGAGATACTGGCTCGCAAGAACTCCAGCATTCAGGAGCAGCTTGCAGGGCTGCAGATGAAGATCATCGCCGAGGACAAGATTGTGTCTGACAAGATCGCGGTGCTGGTTACGGAGTGGGAGCAGCAAAAACCAATAGAAGGCACGCTTAAAGCGGACACGGCCTTGAATACGATCAGCCTCTTCGAGGGCAGGGTTGCTCGTCTGTGCGACGATCGCGATCTCGTCATTCGCGCGAAGGAGGCCCTGGACCTGGAGCACACTCCGGACGATCGTGTTGAGCCCGTACAGGAGGAGCTTCGTGATCTCAAGGCAGTATGGACCGCCCTCTCGGGCACGTGGAGCCAGCTGTCTGAACTTCGTGATAGCAGCTGGAACAACGTGCAACCTCGCAAACTCAGACAGCAGCTCGATGGTCTGCTCAACCAAACAAAGGATATGCCAAGTCGCATGCGCCAATATGCGGCTTTCGAGTACGTCCAGAACATTCTTCGAGACCTGCTCAAATCCAACGCGCTGATCTCGGAACTGAAGTCAGAAGCGATGCGCGAGCGCCATTGGCGAGCTTTGTTCAAACAACTTCAAGTGTCCACGCCCTACTCCCCCACCTCGATGACGCTAGGCATCGTGTGGGACTTGGGTCTGAAGCGTCACGAGCAAGCCATCAAAGCGGTCATTATGCAAGCACAGGGGGAGATGGCCCTGGAAGAATTCTTGAAGGAAGTGCGTGAACGGTGGACCAGCTATGATCTCGATTTGGTCAATTATCAAAATCGCTGCCGATTGGTCCGAGGATGGGACCAGCTCTTCCAGAGCGCAGGCGATCACCTGTCTGCTCTCAAATCCATGGCAAATTCGCCTCACTACAAGGTCTTTGAAGAAGAAGCAGCTCTCTGGGAGAGTCGCCTTTCTCAGGTGTCCGCCCTGTTCGAACTCCTTCGCGATGTCCAGCGACGTTGGGTGGATTGCGGAGGGATATTCAGTGGCCCTGAAATGCGGCACATCTTGCCGGTAGAGTAAGTCGGCGCCGTCGTCTGCAGCGATGACCCATCCACACTAACCGGACTCCAACCCGCGCAGAACATCTCGCTTTCAAGTCGTTGATACCGAGTTCCTCACCATTACGAAGCGTATCAACAAATCTCCCTATGTACTGGATGTGATCAACATCCCCAGCATCAACCAGTCTCTTGATCGCTTGCACGATCTGTGCGTTTGATGTGTTTGCAGCAATGCTCTGTATACTCAAGCCGCTGACGTTTTTTCCCGAGTGCCACATTCTTGCGATCACAGGCTCGACAAGATTCAGCGTGCACTTGGAGCATTCTTGGAGAAACAACGCAACGTGTTTCCGCGCTTCTACTTTCTTGGCGACGAGGACCTGCTTTCGCTTTTGGGCTCAAGCAAAGACGTTATGCGAGTGGGAACTTACATCGCCAAGATGTGGCAAGGTGTCGCCTCCGTCATCTTTTCGGACGACAGCAGCCTCATCGGGGTGCGCAGTCCTCAGGATGAGTATGTTGAGCTAACGAGATCAGTGCCAACGGCCGGCATCGCTGTACATGAGTGGCTGCAGGGGCTAGAGACTGAGCTCCGCAAGTCTGTCGCATTCGCTAGCGAAGCTGCTCTTGCAAATTTAGCGATGTTCTTTACCCCCTCGTCCTTCGAAGCTGAGAAGCTTGTCGACTGGATCGAACGTCACATTGGCCAAACGACGATCTTGGTGCTCGGCATCCAGTGGACCAAGCTAGTTGAGCATTCCCTCCAAGAAGGCAAGGATGGCTTGTCCGCAGTGCTCAACCTGGTAGAATCCGCGCTGGATGCACTGGCTGACAGCGTAGTCCAGGACTTGCCGGCACTGAAACGCAAGAAGATCGAAAACCTGCTAGTCGAGCTGGTTCACGAACGTGACGTCCTTCGCGACTTGGTCTCGCATGGCACGAAGACCTCAGATGATTGGAGATGGCAGTCTCAGATGCGTTATTACTCTGAGACGTCTACGGGGACCGGAAACGCACCCAGCGCTCGCATCGAGATGGCAGATGCGTCCTTCTCCTATGGTGCGTCGTGCACGTGAAGCCTGCTTCGATCTCTGCGCGCTCACAGATTCCTTTCCTTTCCAGGTTTCAACTACACAGGAGTGCCCGATCCTATGGTGATCACACCGCTCACGACGAAGGCGTTTGGTGTCTTCACCCAGGCTTTGAAGCAGTCGCTCGCGGGCCGCAGCGAAGGTGAGTAGTGCGTTTGCTGCAAAGAACAAAATTGATGTTCCATTAACGCCACATTGCTGATCATTAACAGGGCCTGCTGGTACCGTGCGTATTGCGAGAAATTTTGTTTGTGGTGGCGCTCAAGATCACTGATTACTTCTGATTCGCACAGGGAAAAACCGAGACTGTTTCGCTTCTGGGGCGCCGCCTTGGGAGAGAGGTCATTGTGACCTGTTGCGGAGAAGAATTCGACGCCAAGTCTATTTCCAGAGGGCTCTTAGGCTGCGCTCGAGTTGGCAGCTGGGCCGCTTTCGACGAGATCAATCGTCTGAGCCCCAACGTATTATCATCAATTAGCGAGGACATCCTCTCCTGGCAAAGCGCTCGCCGACAAGGAGGCGGCGCCATGCTGTCTGGCCAGTCGGTGGAGCTCACACCAGGCGCAGCTGTTTTCATTGTAAGCGAGCTGCGCATCGATAGTCTCCTCGTAATGAGACCTCCACTCACATTGACAGACTTGATCTCTCCTAGACGCTCAATCCCACCTATATCGGTCGTGCGACGCTCCCGCGGTCACTCACAAGGCTCTTTCGAACTGTCGTCATGGCCCAACCAGACAGACAGCAGATTATTCAGGTCCGTCGACGTATCATGCGTGTCAAGGGTGATCAAACTGACCCGATAGTCCCTTCCACATCTCAGGTGTTGCTGTATGCAGTCGGTTTTCGAAGTGCCGAGTTGCTCGCTCGAAAGCTGGACCCCTTCTTCCACCTTCTCGAGTCGACGCTGAGTAAGCGCTCGCACTACGATCTCAATTCGCTGAGGTCAATCAAAGCTACTCTCGCTGCGGCAGGGCAAGTGAAGCGAGCGCAAGGCACGCAAGAAGCATCAGGTCAGACGGTCGATGTGGTAGAGCAGTCCCTTGCAGTCAGCGCAGTCATGGGAGTGATTGTGCCGAAGCTCGTTGGGGAGGACGTCGCGCTGCTAGGCGCGCTGCTCGACGATGTGTTCCCGGGTATCCAGTACCAACCTCCTGCGCTAGATGAACTTCGCAAACACATCTCCGACGTATGCCTTGAACGCCATCTCGTCTGCGATGGAGTATGGCTCGACAAAATCATTCAGCTGTACGAGATTCAGCGCATTTCGCATGGTGTCATGCTTGTTGGGCCCTCCGGCACAGGCAAGTCGGTTGCATGGTCGGTCCTACTCGAAGCTCTCCACCGGCTGGAAGGCATCGACGGTGTCTCATATGTCATGGACCCCAAAGCCGTCTCCAAAGATGGCCTATACGGAACGCTAGATGTGACCACTCGAGAGTGGACCGATGGTCTCTTTACAAATGTCCTGCGCCGCATCGTCGACAACGTTCGGGGGGAAAGTGCGAAACGCCACTGGATTGTCTTCGACGGTGACGTTGACCCTGTTTGGGTAGAAAATCTGAATAGGTGAGCCCAATGTATGCGCATCTCGCCTTTCCCTCAGACTGACACGCCTTTCTCACTTCCCGCTTGGCCATCCATAGCGTGCTTGATGACAACAAGCTGTTAACGTTGCCCAATGGAGAGCGCATCGACTTGCCTTCGAACGTTCGCGTCATGTTTGAAGTTGAGCATTTGCGCTTCGCGACACCGGCCACAGTCTCGCGCTGCGGTATGATCTGGTTCAGCGAGGAAAGCGTCACGCCAGCGATGCTCTATAAAAACTACTTTGGACACCTTCGAGCGAGACCTCTCGGCGCGGCCGACGACGACGACCTTGCCCCTTCGACTGCTAGGAGAGACGTAGCGAGCGGTTCAGGTGACTCGCCTGCGTCAGCAGAACTCGTAACACAACGCATCGTTGCCGACGCCATTGAGACCTTCTTTGCTCCTCAAAGCCTGATCGACACTGCTCTTGCGCGCGCAGAAGACTTTTTCCACATCATGCCTTTCACCGCGAGCCGCGCCCTCACTACTTTGTTCTCCCTTATCAATAAAACAGTCCGCAATGTGTTCGACTACAACCAGCAGCATCCAGACTTTCCTCTCGCGCCAGCGCAGATAGGGGCGTACGCTACCAAGCGCCTGGTGGTCAGCGTAGTATGGTCGTTCACCGGGGATGCGAAGCTGCACGTCCGTGCAGAAATGGGAGAGTTTCTCGCGTCTCAAACGGGGGTCGACATGCCTCCTCTAGACAACGGAGCATCCCTCATTGACTTCGATGTTCAAGTCGCCACGGCAGAATGGTTCGAGTGGACAACGCGCGTTCCGACCATCGAAATCGAAACGCACGCAGTGGCAAGCGCAGACGTCGTCATTCCAACCATGGACACTGTGCGCCACGAGGAAGTGCTCTACTCTTGGCTGTCAGAGCATAAGCCTCTCATGTTGTGCGGTCCGCCCGGATCGGGCAAGACTATGACACTATTCGCCGCCCTGAGGAAGCTCCCAGACCAAGAAGTTGTTGGTCTCAATTTCTCGAGCGCGACTACCCCTGAGCTCATTCTAAAGACCTTCGACCAGCACTGCGAGTATCGCAAGACGCCGAACGGAGTCATCCTCGCACCCAAGCAGATCGGCCGCTGGATTGTGCTCTTCTGCGACGAGATCAACCTGCCAGCCACCGATCAGTATGGAACACAGCGAGTCATCTCTTTCTTGAGACAACTTGTCGAAAGAGGCGGATTTTGGCGTACTTCAGACCTCGCGTGGGTAACGCTGGAGCGGATTCAATTCGTAGGGGCATGCAACCCACCGACGGATGCTGGCCGTGTCCCGCTCAGCCAACGGTTTTTGCGTCACGCTCCCCTTGTCATGGTGGACTACCCTGGCGAAGTCTCCCTGAATCAAATTTACGGAACCTTCAACCGGGCTCTCTTGAAATTAGCACCGAATCTCCGAGGCTACGCCGAAGCACTGACGTCGGCCATGGTCGATTTCTACCTTGCCTCTCAGAGCCGTTTCACGCCCGACATGCAAGCTCACTACGTCTACTCGCCACGTGAGCTGAGTCGATGGGTTCGCGGTCTATACGAGTATCTCAAGCCAGTCGACGACACCATAACTGTGGAAGGGTTGGTCCGAATTTGGGCACACGAAGGTCTGCGCCTGTTCCGAGACCGATTGGTCGGTGAGGATGAGAAAGAGTGGACGGATAGCCAGCTTGATGCTGTTGCTTTGGCAAGATTTCCAACCGTAGATCAGAATTTGGCACTCGCGCGTCCTATCATCTACAGCAATTGGCTCACCCGCAACACCAGCAGTGTAGCTTTGCCCGATCTGAGAGCGCACACCGTCGCTCGTCTGGCGCAGTATAGTGAAGAAGAGTTAGAGACTAGGCTCGTGCTACACGACTCAGTCATGGCTCTGGCCACTTCCGTGGATCGCGTCTTGCGTCAACGTCAAGGACACCTGCTCCTCATCGGGTCATCAGGCAGCGGACGAACCACCGTGACTCGTTTTGTCGCCTGGCTCGTGGGGCTCAGTGTCTTCACCATCTCACCAAGTCGACGGTACGGAATGGCCGACTTTGACGAGGATCTCCGCGGAATCCTTCGGCGTGCCGGAACGCAGGGCGAGAAGCTCTGTTTTATCATCGACGAATCGCAGGTCCGAGATCCAGCCTTTTTGGAGCGCATGAACACCCTGCTGGCCAATGCCGAGATCCCGGGGCTCTTCGAAGGAGACGAGTACAGCGCCCTGATGACAGCTTGCAAGGAAGGATCACAAAGGGACGGACTGATGCTCGACTCCCCAGACGAACTGTACTCTTGGTTCTCGAGCGAAATCTCCAAGAACCTTCACGTCGTCTTCACCTTCAACCCCGAACAAGGGGTCGGATCCAGAGCAGCTACCTCACCCGCTCTGTTCAACCGCGCGGTTCTTATATTCTTGTAGAATTAAAGGTGGCCACAGCCTTCTCAGTCCCGTTCATCAATATCTCGTTCGACGCCGTTCACAACGTCGTCCTCTCAAAGGGCACAAGAATGCAGGAGCCTGCATTGATGTTTGACGTGGCAGGCGCACCTGTGGTTACGCGTCCCATTTGATATGAGTCGTCATGTGCATGACATCGATAATAGATTTTCTAGCTAAGTGAAGAGTGACAAGCGTCGTAAAGACCGACGCAGTCCGTGCTCGGCGTGCCAAGTCACAATGAGACACCGACGAGCCAGCCTATCTGCTGTACAAGTGCTCGATGGTACATTTGGAAGACTTGTCTGATGGCCCTCTCCTCAGGACCGATTGCTCCAGCATCAGCTATATCGACGCTAGGCGACACTCGGTTGCTGCTCATCAGTACCGAGCTCGCACTTGTGACACCAGAACCTCCCAGAGTCTGTAATGCGCTCAACCAGCCCTTGATCATATCCTGACCAAAGATCCTGCCTTGCTCGTTGACAGCTCCAGATATGCGCTTCAACAGAGTAGACCAGCGATGAAGCAGATAAGGAGCCAGCTGCGAAATCAAAGTGTTGGGCGATGCGCGTGACAACATCCTAGCGTCGAGCAAGGAGCGTAGTACGTCATGACCCGAGCCATCTGTTCGCGGTGCCGACCCCCGATATTCGTGAGGAGAAGGTGCTGTGTGAGCGGCAAAAGCCAGCGTAGAATCAGGAACGGGCGGTAGGGTGGCCTGAATTCGGAGTAGACGTTCAGTGAGGTCGTGAAGGAAGGAGAACGTGGTGCTAGGGTGAATGTTGTCGATCTGATCAGTGTTCTCGTTGCCGGGGGTATCATCAAAGAGTCGGAAGAAGCCGATGGCGCTGGTGACGAAGTCTTGCAGGGGATTCCTGATTCTGCTCCATGCCCACTCTGCTCTGACTCCTGCGCTCGTGGCACTCGGGATTGCTGCACGAACTTGCCGCTCGCATTCGTCCAGCGAAGCCCCAAATGTGGCAATGGAAGGCGTGGGCATGTGACGAAGCATCTGAGCTGGCAAGGCGGAGTCGGTAGAATGAGCGAGCAGGCGTGAGAGTAGGACCAACAGGGAAGGTCGATCCAACATAGCTATGTACGTCCAGTGTCGTGGTGTGTCAGTCTCGCAACGCAAGTGATCATCACGAACCAAAGTAGCTGTGAGATTCGGGAACTCATGACTCACCAAGTAGCTTGCCAAGATCCACCTCTGGGTCGTTGCCACTCTGGGTCGACTCCGCGCTGCCAGCTGCCGAGGCAGGATGACGTGCCGCCCATTCCTTGTCACTCGACATGCGTCCGGAAGTGGAGTGCTCCAGTCCATACTCTGTGGAGGCATCACGAGTCGTGCTGTGTATGGTCATACCCGACCTCATTCGCTTAGGCAACACCTGCCTAGCTTCTGACCTTCCGCTCGCCCCATCTTGTAACCTGACGGTAGTGTTCCAGGACGAGCCGCTAGCTCTGGAATCCAATGTTTCGCAACCGTACCTTGCGGGCTCCTCTTCTTCTTGCATGTCTACACTCTCGTTTCGCCCTCTTTTGCGGCGTATAGCAGTCGCCGAAGAAGACGAAGGCAACAAGGCGAGGCGCTTCGCTGATGACGGCGCCTTAGAGGGTACGTCGGCGGGCTTATTGAGGTGCAAAGCAGATCCGATGTCATGGTTCGAGGTGCAGTGATGGCTGTTATGCGAGTGGGATGCGCTGAAAGAGTCTGGCGGGGGTGATGTCTTGGCACTGACTCGTTGCTGTGAGGTGATGCTCGGAGCACTAGTGTAGCCAAAGGAACCCCAGCTGATGCGACTCGTGTTGGATGCCACCATGGGCGGAGCAGATGCGAAGGATCCGAACGGAAGAGATCGACGAGTCTGAGGTGAATGTGAAGGGCCGACGCCGTTGCTGCAGAGCATGTCTGTGCTCGGGCTCCCTGTTGGAAGTGCTGCATGATGCTGAAGATGCTGATGTCCAGTACTGCTTGAGCCGTGCGAGGGCTGAGACGTGTCTGTCCAGAGTTGGGATAGAGAGGCTGCTTCGCCACCTCGCCCAGGCGTATGTGGCATGCTTGCAGCTGTGTGCGCAGCCTGTATGCTGCCAAGCGATGAATCCAAAGAAGCCATCACCATTATGGAAGTGATGAAATCGGAGTCTCATATGTTCACGTCAAGGATGAGGATGTGAGCCTCAGATGGATTGCAGGAAGAGATTCACGAGTCATGCGTGTCGAGTTGAATCACGAACCTGCATGCAAGCGTGGATGCTATGTATGCGACGCGCACGCGGACCTCGGCTTGGTGGACTCGCACGTGATGTGGGTATGGGTCGCGTTACAACATACGCGCTGTGCTGCGCGTTGGAGTTAAGAGTGGCAGACTCCAGGTAGCAGACTTGAATAACAAAGCACTCGTGATCTAAATCGTAAACTTCACGTCTCCAGATTTGAATTCTCGACTCTTGATTACAATCAAGAATGTCGTGTCGAGTGTATTTCAAGATCAGGGATCAAGAAGGGATGCTTCCTGGTCGTTCTTCTGACTCCCAATTCAATAATTGACTTTCAAATTCTGACAATTAACGCGGAATTAGATTCAGTTTTGAGTGGGATTTCAAGTTCGAAATTCCATTCAATTTTGAGTCAAGAGTGGGATTTCTCTTCTTGTGTACCGAATCCGTGGCGCTCACGTGTCCTTCTGATTGGCGGGCATCCAATCAAGCATATGGATCAGCCGATTTGAGAGATCCTGAGTATGCATGCAAGGACTGGAGACGGCAGATGGGGGGCCGAGACAGATCTTGGAGAAATAATAGCTGTGATCGGTGGCCTGGCCTTTGCGCTGATCTTGCTTTCGAGTCAGACCTCAAGGCAGTGTTGACCCATAGGGCGCACCGCGCACGAGTAGCAAAAATGAATGAGGAATGCTGGAAGTGTGCCTCCTAGGTGAATCACCAGGGTGAGCCACGACCGCCGCCAGGGTGCTATTCCCTGGCCAGTTACCTAGGCCGTTTGAACAGGACGCCGCGAATCCTTGAATGCCCCCATTTTATATTTAGTTGCGGGGGCCCCCCTGCCGCGTAGCTAGGCACCTGACGGACTCCGGCATGCATCAGTGTGCCGGTGGACCGAGGCGGGAATGCGAAACCTAGGCCCATATGCAGACAGGTCCACGTTCTGTTTCTGAACACCAATTCGGTACCGCACAGCGGCCCGTATGCACCCTTGTGCGTGTGTTGTGATTGTGGTAGTGATAGTTGGATAGGCGCACCAGGCGCGGGGTCGAACCGGCGACCCTGGCTCCGCGCAGCGGAGACCGGAAATGAGCGTCATGCCTAATAAGATATGATTAAGACCATAAATCACCTGAGCCAGTTAGGCGTCAATTCAATAATCCAGATAATCTGCGGATCATAAGCCACAAAGCGCTATTAGCGCTGAACAGGATCATAATCTTTGACTCACTCAGTCCCTGCTCCGTACATTCACGATTCACTTGAGCCCAGAAGGGAACGAGTTGCTTCGGTGATGACCCATACGTACTACATACATGCGGCAGCCTAAGTGTCCTCGGTCTTTGTACCGCCTCCGCCACAGCGAGAAGGGTCGTACTCAGTGGGCTGCACTGTAATCTTGCGTCGCTTGGTTTCGACCTTTGTCAGCTTAGTCGAGGGAGGTCTCGCGCTTCGTTGCGGGTGCAAGCCCTTTGATGACACCCTTTGATGCTTGCTTTGTAGCTCCCCAGGGCCTGCATGCTTTGACTCTGAGCTTGTGAGCGAATGCTTCCTCTTCGCGATCGACGTAGTCTGCTCCCGAGGCATTGAAAAGCCTATCTCCATGTCTGTCATCGGATTGGGGTCTCCGTCGCTCGGTTTACTCGAATGAGGCAAGGTCCCGGTGGTCTGAGCGGAGGGACTGCTAGCACGCACGGCTATCGAGCAACCTGCCGAAAGGACAGGCGCTTCCATGACCCCTCTGAACGATCGGCGAGCCTCTTGCGGGGCGCAGGCAGCCGCTGTATTTAGCGGCAATCGGAATGGCGTGCGTGTGCAAACAGCTCGTACTTACGTGCACGGGTGAGCACTGCTCGAGCCGTCGCTGAAATGGAATCCTTGGCAGCTTGCGGTGACATGCCAAAGATAGATGCACTGCGAAGCTCCCCAAATCAGCAATCCATGTGGAGTGGTGCACGCGTCTGCTTTTGCACTCACACAGCAATGACGTCCTTCGGTCCGCGAATGTCAAGCAAGGTCGCCGCGCCGGAGGAAATTATGATCCCCTTCCCTCCGGTCAGCCTTAGCAAGTCTCTTGTATTGGACACCAAATTCCTCTTCTTCCTTTCTCTTTCTTTCTCGCTCTCTTCAGAAGCACCGGCCAGCATTGCGCTGTAGGTGATCTCGAAGACTGCTCCGCTTCGAATTGCAGTTCGAAGTGTGCTCCTTTTGGGTGCAAATGGCAGACGCGAGCTGGAGGCTAATTCCAGCGAGATTATGTCGACCGAAAAAGGTTTCAACTCTGTCAATGTCTGACAAGCGAGACTGAAAGCACTGTCGGTAGTTGGTTGGACTGCGATCAGGTCCCACGTAGCGAGAGCGGCCGCCTGAGAGGAAGTCTACAACGGTGGCAGATGGGTTGTATGCGTGGTTTGAGCGAGAGACTAGCCTCGGTGATGCCTGTTCTGGTGCCTACTCACGAAGCCATGCCCGCCCTTTGTCAGACTGCTATCGTCCATGGTGACAGTTAGTCGCTGTAGCTGCTGTAGTTGCGGTGCAAGCCCTGCGCCAAATTTGGCCCTTGGCTTCCTAAGCCTTGGACCCGTAGAGGCTAGGTGGGGAAAGACTGGCAGTGAGATGGCATCGGGAGGTTGAACCACGCATCCTCCCGAAAGCCCAAAGTGATTCGTTTCGCCTCTGTACCGTGTCTGCACAATGTGGTTGAATGCAATGCTGGTGAAGCCGACTAGAGCAGGAGCAAACCAGTTAGTGCGCGCTCACGTCCAACGAGACCATTGTTGTGACCACTATTCTCACAATGAGTCAAATCTTCCAGTATGTTCTTCACTTGCTTCCTCTGCAATTCTGAGAGCCCATCGTGGGTTTCGCCATTGTTCACGACGCTCACTGCTGAAATTGCTCTAGAAGCCCCCAAAGCGCGCTTGTTGTGTTTCCCTGTTCCGCTTCTCTTCGCGCCAGACGCAATGTCCGCGAAGCAGTCGACGGGCCAGGGTATGTTGAGATCCAAGTACATCAGGAGCCGCGACTGACCTGTGATTCTTGCGTATCGCGGGGCCGCTAGAGCGTCGTCGGTCAAAGCCAAGCAATTCGAGGTTGCATTCAAGACCAAAAGGGGACCTCAAGGCTGAATAGTCAAGCGTGACGGGTCGCCAGTCCCGTGGAAAGGGCGAGGTGAAGAGAGAGAAATTCGGAGGCGTGCGCGTCAGCTTCGATGCGGGGTCCTGCGAGGCTCCAGCAGCACTGGTACCGTCTCACCTTTGGTTCTACTCGTCGGCCCCTGGGAAAACTTGCCGAAACTTGTCGCTGCCTGACTGGCTTGCTCGTTCAGAGCAGTTGTTCAAAGGTAGCGGTCTGCTTCTGCGTCCGAGCACAGGTGACCCTCGTTTCAAATCAGACGAGGCAGGTTGAGCTGATCATGTTTGGGTCATCTGCCGAGTGCGGCAATTAGAAGCAAGCGCCTAGTAACGTTCACAGCATCAAATTCGCGGAGGTGAGGTGAGTCGGATCCTTCATTGAGGGTCGAGTCTTGGGTTGTTGCCGTCATGAGTCAGGAGGCGATTAGCCCTGCTGCGTTCTCCAATCTGAATCGTCGAGCTTGATTCTGCGCGCAGACGCTGCGAAATGTGCGTGACGCATATCGGGTATAGATATTTGCCGCAGGTAGCATATGCAGCGCACGGAATACACGCAGACCGTACACATCTTCAACATGCATGGCCAGCACACATACGATGCACTCACAACACTCACGACTCACACTCGTTACTACTCACACTTGTAACTACTCACGATTGCGACTACATTTCGAGCAACCTCCCATCAACATTCACCTAGGTCACAACCGCTCGCGAATCTGCCGCGCCACTTGTGGTTGTGTCCTCCATTGCAAAGCCGTCGCCCACCTGAGCAAAACAGGTCGCAACTTCCTGAAGACGCCAGAGCGTGCCAACTCTCATCTTTTCGCAAACGACTGTGGCCACGAAAAGCCCTGGCTACTTCTTGGCGCAGCTGCTGCTTTCTCATTCATCCTCTTCTTCGAAAGCATCGGCTAGGATCTCGCGAGGCGGCACCTTGAGCTGATGCGCCCCGTCTTATTCTGACCGAAAGGCCAACAGCTGGGAGACTCGCCCTCATCATGATTCCGCACCGGCCCATGCCGGTAGCTGGAGGCGTCGGCGGTATGCCAATGGGCGTGGGTACGGGAATGACAGCAGGCGTGACTTCAGAAATGGGAACGGCAAGCGATGGCATGCATCCTCAGGTCCATCTGCAGACTCCAGGGCAGTCTCATCCATCTCACTTTCGTCCTCATCATGGGCATCAGCCCGGCGCTGCAGGCGTGACCGGTCTGAACGCGCGAGCGGGTGCGCAGGGTGGAGTCTATCATCCTCATTCTCACCAAGTTCTTGCGCAGGAACAGCATCACGTTCAGCAAGGCATACCGCCTCAGCTTCAACACCCGTCAGGTTCGGGACAGCATGGTCCACAAATTCATCAGCTCCCACAGATGAACCAACACTCGAACCCTCATGCCCAACCCCACGCATCGCTGAATGGCATCTCTTCTCCTCATCCCAGCAGTGCGGGCGTATCTACACCTCCAAACGCAGCCAATCAGGGGCAACCCATGATGATTGGAAGAGTGCCGAGCGCAGCAGGAGCTCAGGTTCCTGGCGCAGTACCGAATCATTTTGCTCCGCAAAGGAGGGCCTCTGGACAGCTTGAGCATTCGAATGCGGATTCTAATGGCTTCGGTCAGGCGGTTCCTGGCTCAGCACAGACACAGCCGCGCGGATCAGCTCATCAAAATGCTGTCCGACTCAATGGCAGCTTGCCTGATGGTCATTCCAGTCACACCCGAGCCGTTGGCACATTGGGTGGTCCACCGCGTGGCTTGCCCATTGCTCCAGCAGGGCAAGTGCATACGCCCCCCGGGAGTGGTGTGATGCGCATGCTGCAGTACTCGGAAGCTCTAGCAGCCGGTCCAGAGGTGAGGAGCAGGTATTTGCTCGCAATCAGCCTCACGAAATCGTGTGGGATAAGCGATCTTGCTGACCTGATCGTGTGCTTGATACCTCATAGCGAGATACAATGGAATACTGGCAGGATTGGGCGAAGGAATTTTATGCATCCAATGGCGTGTTTCACTACGTTCTCTGGAATCCCACCAGCCGCGAACAAAAGGCTTTTGGTGAGTGGCCACGGCCGCATACAGCCTGTCGGAGATGTGCTCGGAAGCTTTGCGATTACACAGTGGGAACGCTAGACCTAACCGCGGTGGCCCCTTCACGCTTCATTATCAGAGGTGCCGACCTCCGTGCTGCCCAGATACATGCTGACCAACTACATCTCAGGCATGAAGGGTGCAAGTTTACATCTCGAGGCCCCACGAGAGTACGTGGCGGGAGCGACGCGATTTCCCTCCTCGTCGTCTCCTTTTGCGACCAATTCACCAGCTTTTGCGACGAAATTCTCGCTGCATCTCGAACCGTCGTCTGCCGTGACGCATTTAGTCCAGTGCGACAGGGCCATCATCATGCAGTACTTCTCCAGCGGCTGGCAGATACAGCAGATCGGAGCGTTCAGAGCTGCTCTAGTACCTGCACCGAGATTGGTTCCTGTTCAAGCAGGCTCAGAAGGTCCGCATCGGTATGAAGTGAGACTAAGGCTCGAGTCGTTCGATTACTCTTGCATTTCGCACACGAGCTACCTGTCGCACGGTATGCTCTCGCCTGTCAAGATGGAACAAAGCATTCCCAAGGAGACGATTCAGGCTATACTCGCTGCCCATGGTATTTCTGATTCGAATGCTGCGGGAGAGATGGACAGCAAAGGTGGGATGGGGGTAAAGACTTCAAAGAAACCGATGAGAAAGCAATCCAGCGCCGCAAGTAAGAAGGAAGAAAAAGACAGAGGCAAAGCTGAAGGCGCTGGAGCCACAGCAGCACTGGTCAAGGAGGAAGACAAAGACAGTAACGGCACTAAGAACGAGAACAGAGACGATGAGACTACATCTGGAGCTCCTGGCAACAATTCATTTTTCGTCTCGGTCGAAAAGCTCGATCTACCAGAGAGCCCAGTAAACGAATATGGTATCACGCTTAGAGCTATGAGGTGTCTCGAGGTACGTGCCTGGTGCCAAGTGGAATATTTTAGCAGCCTGTGGCGGCTGACGTACGCCTCTCGCAAAATCAGATCACAGAGAGCGTCTGTCACCTTCGCGCATTGATGGATTTCACGCAGCACGAGAACATTGGACCCCTGGGTTGGTACCAATTACAGGAAGCATGACATTGTCTCCCCTCTGCTGACCACGCCATAAAACTGCCTCCTTTCCAGAGGGTCTGCGCAAGCTAGCACAGCAGTTCAGGGAACAGCAGCGAATGTCGTCTGCTGGTGGATCAGCAGGCAGTAACTACGCACTCCTGCCAGCTGCCGCCATCAACGCTACCGCCTCTTCCCATCCAGATCCGACCGCGAGTGGGGAGGCAGATGCGGCGGCTGGTATGGGTGGACAAATCGCAGACAACGCTGCGAATAAGAGAAAGGGTGCGCCCGGGGAGGCTGCAGGAGGCAACGCTAACGCAGGAAGACTTAACCTGAGCAGGAGCTCAACCCAGCAGGGCTCCAATGCTAGCCCCAAACAAGTTTCAAGTCCAACCAAACGCCAACGGTGACCGACGATAAACCAGCGCGAGAAACGTCAAGTTGACCTGCGCATCGGCGTTTGCGTTTTGTAACAGTATCACTCGTGGGACCCTGATCTCATTGTAATAATATCACGTTTAGGCCGTTTCTCACTTTTTCGTCGCGCTTTTGATCAAACCTATAGCGAAAGTGTGGCATCAAAGTGAATGGATAGAAATTGCGATGGAATCGGCACCTTTGAGCGTGAGAGTGGTGTCGCAAAGGCGTTCATGATACACCATGGCTCCTCGTACGTTCTGCGACTTTGCTGTGCTATCGCTCTTTTAATACTCCAAAATCAATTCGCCGGCCTCTTCCGCAGCCCCGCCGGGAGCGCTGTCTAGGTCTTCGTACTTGTTCGGAGCTCTGCGCGCCCTGGGATCGAGAGGCTTGGGGGCGGGAGGTAGCGGCGCCGGGAAGGTGCCGGTGGGAGGGCTGCTATTCGGCTTCGATGGCTGAGGCATAGGAGGCCCAAGCCTAGAGCTCAGATCTCCTACAGCGCCGTTCGAGAACGCCAATGCACCATTGGCGTACCGTTCGTCTACGTAAGACTCCGATCTTCTCGGAAAGCCGCGAATCGCACGTCCGCCAACATCTGCAGAGGCCATTGTGCTGCCGCCCAGCCGGATGAGCGGCCCACCATGGATGCCGGCTGGGGCGTGGGATGGGAATGAATCCTCAAAACCGCCCAAAATGCCTCCAAGCCGCTGCGCGAGTTGACCTGAACCTCCTAGATCACCCCTCGCATGCCCGCGGCCAGTCCGCCCGCGATCGTCTCGGGCTTGGAGTGCCGGCATTACCCGGCCAGGATCTCCGACGTATGAATTGAAGGCTTCCATCTGTGATGATGCCAGAAGCAAAGCGTTTGTCAGTGCGCACCTCGCGACATTGACCGAGTCTCTGTTGTCGTGCGGTGACAATGCATGCTACGCACTTCTTTGATCTTCTCGCCGGCAAAGTCGTCGAGGAATGCTCTGTGCTTATTGACCACGTGCTTCCGGACAAAATTGGCTGCTTTGAAAGGTTTGCTACACTGCTGAGTGCCGCCGTCCGGGCCCGTGATGGGTACGACGCAACGGTGCTTTTCGCCTTCGTCTTGCTGCGAGTAAGGTGCTGCCAGCTTCAAGAGCTCTCTGATTGCACGCGAGACGTTGCAAGCGAGGACATGTGCTGGATCTTAGTCTGCTGAAATTTGGAGTCGGGCGCATCGCAATCGCGGCACTCACTCCGGCACATCATGGCCACCATAGGACTCCAAGTTCGCCTTGTCTGGATTCACGAGCAGCCAATGTTTCGAATCGAGTGCCTCGCCCCAGCCTTTCTCCACCTGCGTGGAGACCGCGCGTGTTCTGCGCAAATGTTTGGGTGATCGCCTCACGAGCTCTTCGGCAAAGTCGCAAATGATGCTTGCGTAGTAATCACAATGGTAGACCTGACGGAGGAGATCTAAGTGCAGATCAAGGTGTTTGCACAGCTAGCAGACGTCGGCGCGAAGGCTCTAGGGTGAGCCTAGGCCAACTTGTGAGCCGGGAGTTGCGTTGACTCACAGCATCGCGCAGAGGCTTAGAAGCCTCTTCATCATCATGAACCTCCTGGGCTTTGGCATCTTCCTGAATGTCGTGCGCACTGCGTCCTTGAAGCCCTTTGCCAATTGCCTCGCATCGCGCGTCGATCTCGACTGAAGCATCAGTATCGAGCCATTCTTGCGCTGCGCCGGTAGCCTGATCCTCCGCATCCTCAGCGCGACGCCTTTCAAGCTCTCGATCTTGCTTCTGCAAGAAGCTGACGAGCTCTCGAGCTTGCCGAAGATCGTGCGCCAGCCGAGCAAGGCTGGAAGCCTGAGCAGGCGCGATGCGCAACCGAGCGTGTGGGGCACGATCCGTGGTCTCGAAGGCGAGTTTGATGCCATTGATCTAAGCCAAGGGAGTAGGGTAAGGGCGGGCCGGTAACGAGGATCAACTAGGCTGCACGCAGCGTGCAAAGCGTCTGGGCAATACGACTCACTGTCTTCGCATTGAGAGCTTCGGTGATCGCGTGAAGGTCAGACTCCGGCTCAAACACTGCCCAGCCCATCCTGCCCCACTTTTTGCCTGGATGCGGTTCCCCTACCGCCAAGTACCTGAAGCCGACTTGTTCCTGTAGCACTTCTTCCAGCAGGGTCCTCGGCAAGTCGTGTGGAATGACTCGTAGCAGCACCTCATTTGGTTGCGCAGGTGTGCTTGCTTGCTCCGTATCAAGCAGCACCTCCTCTTGCCCCAAGCGCGAAGTCGACATGAGCCAACCTTTCTTTTCGTTCTCCTCGAGAGTACCTGGGATGCCCTCAAGGGCGCGCGAAGACGCGGCTAGTAGCAGAGGACATGATCGAGTGAGCCATCGTACACGATTGTACGTTGGTAAGCCTCGACACTCACGCTTAAGCTCGAAATCCACCTTGTCGAGCGACCCGCTCCGAAGTTCTCCCAACCACCTTTCTTTGCGACCCTCTCTGCCTTTCCTCCTTCGATCCAGTCGACGTTGCACATCAACGACGGCGAGTCCGTATCTCTCCTCAAACCAAAAGTCCTTGTTGTGCTCCTTGAAGAAGCGTTGCATTGCTTTGCGCTGAAAGTCCGTTCGATACTTTTGGTACTTCTCGTAAAGCTCTGCACTGGCCTGCGGCGTGTTAGAGGCAGCGATTGGGTCTGCTGCTTCCCGCAACATCTGCGCAAAGCGCTTAAAGGGCAGCAGGTAGTCGAAAGCGAAGGGGTCGAAGCGGCTGCGGGAAAATGGCGTATCACAAAAACCTCACAAATTAGCGCTGTCGAGTTCCCGCCAAAGCTCGTCGGGCACTCACACCGGCTCACGAGGGCCGCTTCCGGCAGCTGAACCACGCCCCCCGTACCCTGCAGCGTAGGGGTCTGTAGATGACGCGCAAATTGTCGAGGCTGAGCGCTCAGACAAATCCAGCCTTTGCTCGTGCTATGACGAGCACCAGCACTCACCATGAAAGCGCAAAGTCCGGTCCCATTCATCATCCACACGCGCTTTCGGCGCATACCTTTCGCCATCCCCGCCTACCCTCGGATCGAAGCGATACTGGTCATCGTAGAGATCCCGTGTCCGCTCCCACTCTCGTGTATCTCTTTCACGCTCCCAGTCCAGTCTTTCTCTGTCATCTCCACGCAGCGGATAGCGGTCGTAAGGGCTCGCTGCGGCGGCAGCTCTTTCTTTGGCGCGCTGGCGGTCTATCCAGTCAAGATATTCGGGATCTTTGCGGGTTGGGTCGATCCGAAAGCCATTCACAACCTCTTCGCCGCCTTCCTGGCCCCAAGGAGAGTGACCGCGAGCCGCCGCAGTGTGTGTATCAGCTCCTGAAAAAGGATGGACTGGCGAAAGACGTCGCTTGAGAGGCCGAGGATCTGTGTGCAGCGAGCGAGTCATGGTATCAGCACTTAGTCCCCGCAATATACACAGGTATGCTTCTGATGTGAGCCCACACCGCACCACTCACCGCCATGGTAGTGCGTCCTTTCACTTTCATAGGGATCGTGGCTATAGTCCGGTCGGTACTCCATACTGGCGTAGATGGTGTCTTGAGGCAGATGTGCAAACGTGGGGGATACGATCGGCGAGTAACGCACGATGTACAAAGGGGTGAAGAGCGTTGCGAGTGTGTGCGCACTCGTAACAAAGCAGGCACGAGAGTTGGTGACAGTCAGACGGCAAGCAGGAAGAGCTTTGCGCGAGTGGACGGCGTAGAGCGGCGAGGCGAGGTGTGGCGCCGACGAAGATTCATCGCGCACCGCCGCGCTTTTCTTCGCCAGCTATACACGCGCAGGATCGCGCGCGAGTGACGACGCGGGCGATGCAGCGCAACATGAACGCCGGCACGTGACTGGAAGGCGCTAGGGCGACTCCAGCAGATGCGCGTCACCCCACGCGCTGCACAAGCAGACGCACATGCAAAGCCAGCTGTTCATCATTCAAAGCCAGTCACTGTCCATCATTCTGGGTGGGGTCACCAAAGCCTTCACCAAAGCAAAAAGAGGCTGTGCTCCACTGAGCTGACACAGAGCAGTCACTGAGCTCTGCTCTGTGGGCCTGGCTTCACTGAGCTGTGCTTCAA